GAGGAGCCGTGCCCCATCCCAGCACTGCGGCAGCACCGCGTCTGCAACGTGCACAACTGCACGCAGGGTAAGGGCTGCACAAAGCGGGGAGCCTCGAATTGGGGGGGTAGGGCTTACTGATGGCTGCGTCCTCGCCCGCAGAATGTCCCCACAGCCAGGTGCTCAGGGAATGTGCCAACACCTGTCCCCACACCTGCGCCGACCTGTGCCCACAGACACAGTGCCTCCCACAGCCCTGCCAGCCTGGATGCGCCTGCCTGCCCGGACAGGTGGGGCTGTGGAGCTGCACGGGGCTTCTGGGGATGGGGCAGCAGCCTCAGGCTCTCCATCACCCACAGGTGCTGCAGGATGGTGCCTGCGTGCCCCCTGAGGAGTGCCGCTGCGCGCTCGACCCCACCATGCCTGGAGTGCTCAACCTGTCACGGGAGGAGCAAGAGCAGGAGCACGCACCAGGCAGCCGCCTGCAGCACCGCTGCAACACGTGGTGTGTGCCCCCAGCCCCACAGCATCACCCCACAGCAGGGGACACTGAGCTGGGTGGTGCTGGGTGCTGGGTGGGCGCTGAGCCCCTCTCTGTCTGCAGCGTTTGCATCCGTGGCACCTTCAACTGCTCGCAAGAGGAGTGCAATGGTGAGGGCAACCCGTTCTCATCCCCGTGCCTGCGCCGTGATCCCTGTGCCACAGCCGGGCCTTGCTCACTCCCTGTGCAGTGGATTGCCTGTGGTCCCCGTGGTCGCCCTGGTCCCCCTGCTCAGTGACGTGTGGGATGGGTGAGCAGCTCTCACACCGGCACCCGCTGCGGCAGCGCCTCTATGAGGGGGCTGAGTGCGTGGGGCCCCCCGTGCGCCGGGCTGCCTGTCACCTCCCTGACTGCGGTGAGTGTCCCTGTTGTCCCCAGGTACGGCTGTGGCTCATCAAGCTGCTAAGCAGAGCATGGGGGAGCGGTGATGGGGTGGGTGGTGAAGGAAGGGCGCAAGCCGTCACCGTGGGATGCTGAGGCTCTGGGGGTGCACGAGCACCTGGGCGGGTTTGTCCGCCACCAGCCCTGGCCACTCCGGTCTCCACATGCTGGGCTGCTGCACGGCCGGTGCTGGTGACACATCCCATGCTGCTGGCAGCCTGCCCAGAGGGGGAGCGCTGGCAGGGCCCTGCTGTGTCACCAAGCTGCGAGCAGAGCTGCAGGGACATCCTCGATGAGGCCCCTCCAGGCTGCACCCCTTCCCCATCCCCTGGCTGCACCTGTGAGCCCGGCCGCTACCGCAACAGCAGTGGCCACTGTGTGCCCTCTGCCCTCTGTGAGTGCCTGCACCAGGGGCAGCTGCACCAGGTGAGCAGGGCACAGCACCTGGGGGTGCCCAGGGATGCCTAGAGGTGCCCCCACCTCACTGCTGAGCTCTCCCCCCCCCCCCAGCCTGGCAGTGAGTGGCAGGAGCAATGTGCCAGGTGCCGCTGTGTGGATGGCAAAGCCGACTGCACCGATGGCTGCACGCCGCTCTCCTGCCTCGAGGTACAACGCCACTGCCCCCCGCTGCACACCACTGCCCTTTCCATCCTCCTCCTGCCCCCCACTGCCCCTTGGCTCCCTGATGCCTGAGGGCTGCAGCACCTTCCCTAAGAGGACGGGCTGAGGGAGCCGGGCTTATCCAGCCTGGAGAAGAGAAGGCTGCAAGGAGACCTCATTGCGTTTAAAAGTGAATTATAAACAGGAGGGGAAGCATTTTTTTATGAGGGTAGGCAGTGGTAAGACAAGGGGGAATGGTTTTAAGCTCAAAGAAGGAATGTTTAGATCAGATGTCAGGGAGAAGCTCTTTACTATGAGGTGCTGGAACAGGCTGCAAAGAGAGGCTGTGGTGCTCCATCCCTGGAGGTGTTCAGAACCAGGTTGGATGGGGCCTTGAGCAAGTGTGTGTAGAGCCAGATAGAGATTGGTGGCCCTGCCTGTGGTGGGGGGGTTGGATCCCTGGGGTCCCTTCCAACCCAAGCCGTTCTATGGTTCTATGATGCTGCTGTATCCACAGGGTGAGGTGAAGGTGCGGGAGCCAGGACGCTGCTGTCCCGTCTGCAGGATGGAGTGGCCGGGTAAGGGCCTCAAGGGGAACCCCCACTGTAGCCCCTCTCCCGGGGACCCCCCTGGAGCCACCTATGGGGGCATCACTGCTCTGCCCCCCTCCCCGCAGAGGAGCCATCCTCCATGTGCCGGCGCTTCACCGAGCTGCGCAACATCACCAAGGGTCCCTGCTCACTGCCCAACGTGGAGGTCAGCTTCTGCAGCGGCCGCTGCCCATCCCGCACCGCCGTCACCCCCGAGGTGGGTCTGTGGGCACCGGGTGCCGCCCCCGTTCCATGGGCACAGCACACGAAGTCAGTGCCGCGGCGCTGTGCCCACGCAGGAGCCGTACCTGCAGACGCTGTGTGAGTGCTGCAGTTACCGCCTGGACCCCGGCAGCCCCGTGCGCATCCTCAGCCTGCCCTGTGCGGGTGGCGCTGCCGAGCCTGTCGTGCTGCCCATCATCCACAGCTGCGAGTGCAGCAGCTGCCAGGGTGAGCAGGGATTGGGGCACAACCCGGCCCTTGTTGCAGCCCCGGCCTCGCCTCATGCCCTGTCCTGCAGGTGGGGATTTCTCCAAGCGCTGATGCCCGGAGGGAAGCTGTCCTGCTGCGTGCCGTGGTGGTGGAGGACCCCGAGGCATCCCCCTTTCCCCTCTGTACTGCAATAAAGCTACGAGCCTCCACCTAAGCTGTTCCTTAGTGGGAGCGAGGATGGGATGGAGAGGTGGCAGGGGACAGCTGGGGACGGAGATGGCTGCACGGTGAGGGTTGGAGGTGCTCGAGGGGCTCAGGGGGACCAGGGCAGGACGAGGAGAGAGCAACATGGCCAGGGGTCCTTGGTGCCTCCTAGCAGCGGTGCCCTGCCATGCCGTGGTGCCCTGCCATGCTGTGGTGCCGTGCCGTGCCGCAGTGCAGTGCTGTGCAGCAGTGCCTTGCTGTCCTGCGATGCCTTGCCATCCCATGGCACTGTGCTGTGCCTCAGTGCTGTGCTGAGCTGCAGCACAGCAGAGCTTTGGCTGAGCCATGGCTGGTGCTTGGGCAAGGCACAGAAAAGCTGCCCCAGGCTCAGCCCCCACAGGACCAGAGGTTTGTTTGGGGCGGATTCACAGACAGGGCTCAGCACTCCTCCTCATGCCCCAGAGTCACAGTGGGCTGCCACCAGCTTGGCGTGGGTGATGCAAGGAGCTTGGCATTGACAAGAACATCCTTGAACGAACTGTTGGGCTCCTTAGGTGTCCAATTAGAGGGAATAACTGCAAAATCAGGAACCTTAAACTAGTTGGACAGAACGGTATGGAGATGGGAACTCAAACCCAAAAATGCTTCATCAAATGTGAGTGAAACCCACTGCAAGAGTGGTATGAGGGGAGAGAACTGGATGTGCTTGAAGCTCCCATGAATTCTGAGCGATTCCTTCCCAGCAGAGGGACTGATGGGGGGAAAAAAAGACATACAGCACTCATTTCACATGGTGGTGAGGCACTGGAACAGGCTGCCCAAGGAGGCTGTGGATGCCCCATCCCTGCAGGCATTCAAGGCCAGGCTGGATGTGGCTCTGGGCAGCCTGGGCTGCAGGTTGGTGACAACAGGGGGTTGGAGCTGGATGAGCATCATGCTCCTTTGCAACCATTCTATGATGATTCTATGATTCGTTGTGCACAGCTGAATATTGGAACGACTGCAGCCAGGTGATGCTGCCGTTTAACTGAGTTGGATTTGCTGGATGCCAAAGTGAAGTGCAGCCTGAAGTATCACATCACGCAGGAGACGGTTTGGGGCACCTTTCCAACAAACGTGCAGTGATGCTTCAGGCCTGGGAGCTGCGGTGGGGAATGGAGCCCTCGGGTTGCTCCTGCTTACAGAACTCGGGCGTGTCTGCAATGCGTAACAGAGCGGATGGCCTGCAGTTCCCAAGCTGTGGGTGGCTTCCCTTCAGGAAACCGGCTTAAACTCCTGTCTGAGCTGTAAGAGAAAGTCCTCCCTTCCGACTTTTTGAAATCAGGACCGGTGAATGTTTAAATGGGACTTTACAAGTCCCAAGAAAGCCACCCCGAGAGCCCCAAGCAGCCCTCTGCAGCCCCCTGCGCATCCTCAGCCTGCCCGGGGCTTTGCCCTTCCATTGGCTGGGACCCCGTGTCCCTCCCCTTTTCCACGTTCCACAGACTTTCTTTTTCCATCTCGGTCTGCCTACGAGCTCCTTGCTCACCCAATGAGGATCTCCCTTTGCCTGATTTCTTACTCCTAGGGATGCACCGATCTTGAGCTCAGAGATTTGGTACTTGAATATCAGCCATCTCCCTCAGTGCCCCTTACCTTCCAATGCTCCAACCCATGGGATTACCTCCAGATAAGTCCTTCAGGAGGTAAAGTTGGCTCTCCTGATGTCCAGGGTTGCAATCCTACTTACTGCCCTGATGCTTCCAAACTCCATCTCATGTCCTCTGCGTCCCAGACTGCCCCCAACCTTCATACCCCCAACCAATCCTCCTGCGTCTGTAAGAGCAAGGTCCAGCAGCAGTGCTGCCCCTCCCCGTTGGCTCTTCCACCTCCTGCAGCAGAAAGTTTCCTTCCCCTCACCCTGGGCAGGGTGAGCCTGGCAACGTCGCTTTTCCAGCAAATATCAGCTGACTGAAGTCCCCCGTGACGCACAGTGGTGTCCCCCACATTAGCCGGCCCTTTAATCCTCCCCTACGAGCCCTGCACTCGTTCCTCACTCAACCCCAGGTGGAGCTCCATAAGTTCCACTCGCTCCCACACACAACACTTGTTTCCATGTCGCTGACTCCCGTTGTCCCACTGTCCCAATATCCACACGTCCCGGTGTTCTCCCGCGCCACCCCAGCTTCGCGCTTCCCCGCACCGACACCGGGGACCGCAGCTCCGCCCCAGGAGCTCCGCGGCCGCCCATCCCCGCCCACAGGCCGTCCCCGTCCCGCAGAGCGCGGCCGTCCGCCGGGTGAGAGGGAGCGGAGCGGAGCCGTCGGTGCCGGAGCGGGTGGGGAGCGGAACGAGGCGGGCGCAGCTCCGCGCCCATGGCGCACCGCGCCGCGGAGACGGGAGCGGCGGTTCCCTCCCGGCATCGTACGGCCTCCGAGTCCCCCGCAAAGGCGGCCGAGCCGGGGCGGGAGGAGGACAGCAAGGAAGAGCCGCGGCGGGCGGGCGGCCGCGAAGGCAGCGAGTCGAAGCGAAGGGGACACGGTGCGAGAGCCAAGAGCGCCGGGCGGAGGGAGGAGGACGAGAGCGGGGACGGGGCGTGCGGGAGCACGGCGGAAAAGAGAGGGGAGCCGCGGGACGGCAGTTCAAGGGGCAGAGGTGAGCGCAGCCGCGAGTCGGGAACCACGGGGGACCTGAGAGCCGCGGGCGGCCCCGATGAGATGGCCGAGCGGTGTCCGAGAGGCCGGATCCGACCCACAAGCGCACACCGAGCTGCGCTGGGCTGGGGTGCAGGGATGGGGTCACGGCTGTCCTCGCTCCCTTCAGGACAGGCTCCCCAACCCCTCACTCCCCAGGGTCGGGGTCCACAGCGCCCTCACTCCCCGTCAGGAGGCGTTCCCGCAGCGTTCTCTGCTTGCAGCCATAGAATCACGGTAGCTGTTGAGTCCTTAAGGTTGGGAAACACCTCTGGGGTCACCGCCTCTGACCGTCCACCTCCCACCAGCGGTGCCCACTGACCGCGTCTGCCGCGCCGCATCCCCGTGGTTGGGAGCCCCCGTGGGGATGCCGACCCCCGCTCCCCGGGCAGCCCGTGCCGCCGCCCGGCCGCTCTCCGGGAGTTGTTGTCCGTCCCGTCCGAGCCGTGTCCCGCTGTCCCCGCAGGTCGGCGGCCGGAGCTGCGCGTTGTGCTGCTGGGGCGGAGCGGAGCGGGGCGCAGCGCCACCGGCAACACGTTGCTGGGCGAGGAGCGCTTCGAGTCCCGGCTGGCGTCCCAACCCGTCACCACCACGTGCAAAGAAGGCAGGCGGGATTGGGGCGAGTGGTCCGTGGTGGTCATGGACACCCCGGCGATTTTCGGGGGCTCTCAGTTGGACGAGCAGCGTTTGGCCGAGGAGCGCCAGCGCTGCCTCAGATTCGCTGCCCGGCAGCCCTGCGTGCTGCTGCTGGTGACACAGCTGGGCCGTTACACGCGGGAGGACCGCGAGGTGCAGGAGAGCGTGCAGAAGCTGTTTGGGAAGGGCGCTAAGCAGCGCATGATGGTGGTGTTCACAAGGAAGGAAGACCTGGGGGGCGGCTCGCTGGATGAATACGTGAAGGTGGCCGACAGAGGAGCGCTGCGGGAGCTGGTGAAGGCGTGCGGGAAGCAGTGCTGTGCTGTGAGCAACAGAGCGCCGAGGCGGGACCGGGATGTGCAAGCTGATGAGGTGCTGCACAGGGCTGTGAGCATCGCCCTCAGGCAGAGCGAGGGGCGAGGGGAGTCGTCGTGTTGGTTGTGTTTGCCGTAATTAAGATCTAATCACCGTGACGAGACCCACGGGTCCATGCCCAAAAATGAGGGGCGGGGGGGGGGAGAGGGGAGGGAAGGGAGATGGATCCGGACAAGGGAAGAGGTGGCAATGAGCTAAGGAAAGAAAGACTTAGTTTCCTAATTGTAGTAGTGAAATGTAATTGAAATTGAAGCTACTAAATAAACGAGAGTTTCCAGAACGCAAAGCTCTTGTGCCGATGCTGCAGCAGCTGTGACACACAGGGAGCAAAGGAGAGCGCTGCTGTGAGCTTTGGGTTCTGCTGTCATTGCCTCCTCCTGGAAGATGGAAATCACAAAATAAAGCGTTGTGGGAGCGCCGTGCCTTTCTGGGAGTTGTAGCTCATTCTTCGGAGCCGCCGCGTCGCCTCTTCGACTCCCATCGCTGCGTGACGCAGGGAATGTGGAATAACGAGGAAAAAACTCGAAACCGCGACGGCTGCGCGGCCGCGGCCGAGGTCGAACGGCGGCAGGTGAGTGCGGGCACCGAGGAGCCGCCCAGCGAGCAGCCCCGGTGCCGCTCCGTGCCCGCGGCCGTCCGCCGCCCCGCTCCCCGTCGGGCCGGCAGCACCCAGCGGAGCGCCCGGGAAGCGCCCGGCCACCCCGGAGCCCCCCGGGAGCTCGGCCCGGGCGCGGGGCGCGGGCGGGGCCGGCAGGGCGGGCGGCGACCCCCGGGGCCGCGCGGCGCGGAGGAGATCGGCTGGGGGATGCAGCGCTGCGGGAGCGCGGGGCGGGACGGGCGGCCCCTGGGGGTTGCGGGTGTCCCCCGACGACGCCTCACGCCCCTCCTCTCCCCCGCAAAGCCCTTTTCGCAGGCGGAGCCGAAGGGCCGCGGGGCGCGGGACGACGAAGGGCCGCTGGTCGGGAAGAGCAGCGGAGGGAGGAGCGCGACGGGGAACAGCATCCTGGGGCGGGCGGCCTTCGAGTCGCGGCTGTCCACGCGCGCGGTGACGCGGAGGAGCGAGCGGCAGAGCGGCTCGTGGAGGGGTTACCGCGTGCACGTGGTGGACACGCCGGACGCCTTCGACTCGCCGGACGCCTTCGACTCGCCGGAGCGCAGCGCCCGGTGCCGCCGCGAGGTCGCCGCTCGCTGCTGCGCCCGCTACCGGAACGAGCTCTATGACCGCACGGTGCTGGGAGTGCAAGGAGTGTCTGAGTAGCGAGAGCAGCGCCCAGGGGACAGGAGCAGCACCCACGGGATGGGAACTGCATGCACAAGATGGGAACGGTGCCCACGGGGGTGGGAGCTTCACACATGGGATAGGAACAGCACCCACAGGACAAGAGCAGCATCCAGGGGACAGGAACAGCACCCATGGGATGGAAATAGTGCCCAAGGGATGGGAACCCACAAGAAGGGACCCATCGGCAGCTCTGGTGGCAGCACGGTGGGGACGAGGTCAATCATGGGGCCCTCACTGCTGTGGTCTGATCATTCCCCACATCCCTGCAGGTGTTGGAGTGGGCACAGAGTTTGGGGAGATCCCCGAATGTGGCATGGAGAGAGTGGAGGATATGGGGCCAGGTGCCAGCTGGGAGCAGGGATCCCAAGGGACTCAGCCCTCCTTCCCACTGCCCTGCAGGATTTCAGGGATTCGTGCCACTTTGCTGCCATGCCTGGCCCATGCCGAGGGACCCATGGCACCTCCTGCATTCCAGGACCACGTGAATCTTGCTGCTGGTGTGTCGTGGGCTGTGAGGTGCTGCTGGTCCCAGAGGACACGTGTCCCTGGTGGGGGCCCGGGGCATCCCCACCCCCAAGGCAGGACCCAGCGGGCAGAGGTTGGGGGCAGGGGTGGGAGGAGAGTGCTGGGGCAAGTTGAGTTTACAACTGCAGCATCTGCTGGTGCTCGGGAAGTCGCTCTGCCCTGCACCTCAGCTTGCTTCTGTTTTCGACTCTGAGCTCAGAAACGGCAGCCTCCGAAAGTGAAAGTGATCGTGCTGCATTCCTGCGGGGTGAGCCTGGGCTGAGCCACTCCTATTCCGAGAAGTCGCACGCTTAGCAGAAACCACGCAGTGGTGTTGGCACAGCTGTGCAGGGTTTGCTGCTCCGGGTGGATGCATGCCAGGGTACGGGGCTGGATGAGGGGCTAGAAAGTGTACGAAGCTGTGCTGGAGGTGACTCTGAACTGGGAGGAGCTGTTGGCTCCCTTGAGGGCAGAGAGACCTTGCAGAGAGACCCTGACTGATGGGAGGGCTGGGCAATGCCTGACCACATGGAGGTGAACAAGAGCAAGGGCTGCGTTCTGCACCTGGGGTTTGAGAGGGAACAGCAGCTGGCTCATTCTAACCTTTCCCTTGCGATGGGTGTGGGTTGTAGTATATAATTAGCCCTTAAACAGCCAAACGGACAATCACAGGATGCTGCCTTCTCTTCTTGTTGACGCCTATGGCCCTACAGTCTCTCTTGGCCCTGCAGCTCCTCACAGGGAGTGGAAAGGCAGCGCTGAGCTCTGCTCCCTGGTGATGTTGGCAGCACCCGAGGGAACAGCATGGAGCTGTCAGGTCGGGTGGGAGTGAGGGAAAGGCTGTGCCCAGAGGGTGGTGAGCATGGAGCAGCTCCCCAGGGTAGCAGGCACAGCCCTGAGCTGCTGGGGCTCGTGGTGCTCAGCACTCTCAGACATAAGGCTGGGGTTTGGGTGCTCTTCTCTGAGGCCAGGGGTTGGATCAGCTGATCCTTACGGGCCCAATATTCCAACTCAGGATATAGCCAGAATGTAGAGGCAACCTCAGGACATCGCAGTCACAGCATGCCTGGGGCTGGAAGGGAGGAAATCCTGTTCCCTGTCCCGGCTGTCAAGCTGACGTGGGCTGTCAACCTCCCATGGGCACACCCGTGGGTCCTCTGATGATCTGCGTTACTGCTTATTATAGCCAATCTGCCTGCGGGGGCAGCGCCACGGGGCAGAGGCGGTGCTGGTTGGGACGGTGATAACGGCGATATCGGAACCAGACGGGGCCGCTGCGTCAGTGCCGCACTTCTCACTGCCGGTCCGACGGCTCGGACTGACGGGAGGCTGCAGCGTCCGTGCCTGGAGGAGCGCAAAGAAAGGGTGAATGTCGCACGGAGCGTCACCGCGCGGGGCAGCGCCGGGGAAGGGGGGGGGGGGAGCGGAAGGAGCCGCGATCGCTGCGCCTCCAGGCGGTGCGCGGCCCCGCGGGGTCCCGGCTGTGCCCGGCGGGGTGAGACCGGAGCTGCGGGAAGGTACGGCGGGGGGCGGGGGGGCTCCGTGCCTCCGGGAGGGGCTGCGGTGCCCGGGAGCCGAGGCAGGGGGAGAGGGGCAGGGAGCGGCTCTGTCCCTCGTCCCTTCTTCCCGTTTCCCCTTGTCCCTTTTTTCCCTGCTGCCCGTTCCCCTCTTCTCCCTTTTACACCTCTTTCTCCGTCCAGTCTTTTTTCCCTTATTCTTCTTTCCCTTTTCCCTTCTCCCCTTATCCTCCCCTCCCTACATCCCTTGTCTCCTTTCTCTGTTTCCTCTCCCCATTTTTCTGCTCCCTTTCTCCTCTCCCTGTTTCCTTTCTCCCCACTCCCCACGCTCACAGGAGCACAGCACAGACCTGACCCCGTCCATCAGCACAGCCACAGCCCCGGCATGGGGAGACCCTCGGCACTGCATTCAGCTCCACGCCAACCCCAGCTGCACGCGTGTCACTGCCCACAGGGGTCCGTCACCTCCCAAGGGGGTTCCTGTCACCACCCAGAGGGGTCCCTTACACCTCCTGGGGGTTCCCTGTCACCACACCACCGTGCCCCTGCACCCTGGGCTGTCGCTGTCCCTCTGCTCTGTGCCACCCCAGCACGTGGCGTCACGCCTCTCTTTCTCCTCTGTCCTTTCTCTGCTGCTCTCCGGGCCCTGCTGGAGCTGTCTGTGCTGCAGCATTTCCGGCTGGGCAGCCGATGGAGCCCTGCACCTCCGCTTGTGTCCCTGCAGCACAACCACGGCCACTCGACGCATCCCTGTGCTGCCTGGGGACGGCAGAGGCTCCACAATGCGGCTGCTGCTGGTCGGGAAGACTGGAGGGGGGCGAAGCGCCACGGGGAACACCATCCTGGGGCGGCGCGTCTTCGAGTCCAAGCTGTCCACCACGCCAGTGACCCGCAGCTGCCAGTCAGCGATTGGGCACTGGGATGGAGAAGAAATCGAGGTGGTCGACACGGCCGACATCTTCCATTCGTGGAATGGCAGCAATGAGGAGTGCAGGGAAATCACCCGCTGCATCGAGCTGTCCTCGCCCGGCCCCCACGTGCTGCTGTTGGTCACCCAGCTGGGCCGCTTCACCCAGGAGGACCAGGAGGCCGTGCAGGGCGTGCAGGACATCTTTGGAGTCGGTGTGTTCAGGCACATGGTTGTTGTGTTCACGCGGGGAGAGGAGCTGGTGGGGGGATCGCTGCGTAACTACGTGACCTACACTGACAACGCGGCTCTGCGCAGGCTGATCCAGAGCTGCCAGAATCGGTATTGCGGCATCAACAACCGGGCTTCCGGGCCAGAGCGGGACCAGCAGGTCCAGCAGCTGATGAATATGATCCGCCAAACCATGCGGGAGAATGAGGGAAGGTGCTACAGCAATGAGTTGTACCTGAATCCCTTTTTAACAGAAGAGAAAGTGAGGTATCACATGGAGAATGCAGCCAAACCATGGGGCAGGCTGCTCGACTTGTCATACAGGGGAGTCCTTTTAAAATGTGGGATAGTTCTCATTGTCATCGCCTTGATTGTCATCTGTGTCCTTATTTGGTGGAAGAGGCAATCGGATGAACCCCACAATGCACAGTCCCCCAGTATCAGAATCCCAGAACCCTGAAGCACTTGGGGCCGCAGGCACCGCTCCATCCCCACCCACCGCCATCCCCCAGCACCCGCTGCCCAGGGCTGCGTCCCTTTGGCTGTTGCACCCCTGCAGGGACAGAGAGCCCACCGTCGTCGAGGGGCTGCAGAGCCATGAACTGTCAACAAGAAGTGAAGGCGAAGTGTCCTGTAAGTGTCCCTTGTGTTCCCTGTGGGTTAATTACACACTAAAACCAACACCCGTCTCTGCGGAAAGGTGATCAGAATGAGCCAGCTATCCCCTCCCAAATGCAGTCTTGGAACCCCTTGTATGCCTGCCCAAAGATGTATCAGAATACCCAATTAGAGACTGTAGAGAGATGTAATTTTGTAAACTGTCATGTAAGGATAACTGCACTTCTGTTTGGGGCTGTGCTTGCTTTGGGAAGGATCACCAGACACCTGATTGTGACAGAAATAAAACAGAGACCTCTGTCTGCATCCCAGCTCTGTGTTTATGTCCTTTGGGCACAGACCCCATTAGGGATAACAGCTTCGTTCTTACTATTATTCAGCTCACCTCCAAGTCATGGATCCGGGCACTGAAGAGGACACTGAAGGGAATGGGAGACTGAGTTGGTGATACACACTGGGGGTGTAAGGGTGGAGCACAGCCCTATGGAAAAGGACCTGGGGACCTGGAGGGGCAGCAGCACGAGGCAGCACTGTGCCCCGTGGCAGCCAACAGCACCTTGGGTGCACCCAGAGCTGTGTGGCCAGCAGGGAGAGGGAGGGGGTCTGCACCTCTGCTCTGTGCTGGGAGACCTCACCTGGAGTGCTGTGTCTGGATGGGGAGGGCTCAGTGCAGGAGAGACGTGGAGCTGCCGGAGAACATCCAGAGGAGGGCACAAAGTGACCCCAGGGATGGGACACCTCCCTGCAAGGACAGGCTGAGAGCTGGGAGGCTGCAGGGAGGGCTGAGTGAGGCTTCAGTACCTACAGGGGCTGTAAGAGGGAAGGGGACAGAGTCTGTAGTGGGGTCTGGGTGATAGGACAAGAGGAAATGAACAAAAAGAGCAGAGGATTAGATGGATATAAGGAAGAAGCTTTGTACAGTGAGAGCAGTGAGGCACTGAACATCTTTCAGTGAGGAGTGGTGGCGTCCCATCCCCGCAGACACCCACAGTCAGGATGGGCTCTGAGCGCTGCTGGAGCTGCGGGTGTCCCTGCGCATTGCAGGCAGTGGGACCAGATGGCCTTCAGAGCTCCCTTCCACTCAAACCACCCTGTGACTCTATGAGATCTCTCCGTTTTCCCTTCTGCAGTTGAACAGCCACGGGGCTCTCAGCCTTGCCTCAAAGGGCCCATTTGCTCCAAGCCCCCAACCATCTCTGCACCCTGTGCTGGGAGGGCAGAGCTCAGGGCTGTGCAGTGCTGGGGCTGTGCTGCCCTGTGGGTGCCCCCGAGCCAGGCAGCGCCCTGCCCCACCTGCAGACACACGTGGTGAGGCACAAGGTCCACAAATAGACTTTCCCTTAACTGCACTCAGCTCGGGGAAGTGCAGAGAACAAAAGTAAAAGCAATACTTGGCAGAGAGGACCTTGGCTCTTGCACAGAGCAGCTCCCCCTAGCACTGAACAGCCACCCGCCAGAACACCCAGAACACCCTGCATGCCCCACAGCCTCGTGCATTGTCCCTCTGCATCCCATCCGTGTGTGCCATGTGAAGAGAGAAGAGTTCGTGAAGGATCACATGGGGAGGTACAGAGCTGGCAGGGAAGGAAGGAATTCTGCCGACTTCCCCATCTGTGCCATGTCCACCACATGCTGGGGCTTCACCCCCCCCTCTCCCCCCAACAGCTCCATGCCTTTCCCTTGGGCACCGTCACTGTCACCAGAGAGCAGGGCTCAGTGATGCCCCTCTACTCCCTGTGATGATCTGCAGGGCCATGGGGGTGCAGAGCCAGCACGAGGACTGACAGAAGAAAGGAGTGGACCCAATGGATGTATTGTCTCAAAAGGAGGAACTGTAGTCCACCAAGGTGAAACGCAGAAAGAGATGATCACAAACATTCAAAGAATGTGTGAAAAAGAAACTCTTCGGCCCCAGGGTGCTGCTGTCAAAAAGAAGGAAAGGGAAAATGTCCTTTGAGTGTCTGTGGTGCTCCTGAAGGGATAATTACCACTGCAAACCACCTCCATTGCTGTGGAAGGGAGATTAGAATGAGACAGCTGCTATCCTGCCTCAAATACAGGTGTATAGCCATAATGTGCCTGCCCAGCAAAGATCAGTCAGAGGACCCAATCAGAAGCTGTAATTGGAGAAGATTTTATAAACAGCCACGTAAAGATAACAACATTTCTGTTTGGAGGTGTGTGCTTGCTTTGTTAGGGATTGCCAAGCGCCTGACTCTGTGTAGAACTAAAAAAGGATGGGGATAACAAGGCACACAGTGTGGTGCGTGCTCTTGTTGTATTTCACATCTCCATGCTGCCATGCTGAGCTGCGGCAGTGCCCAGCCCCACCTGAAGGCACACAGGGTGAGGCTGAAGGCTGCACAGAATCCTATTCCTGTAAATGCACCACGTTCCAGGCACTGCAGAAAACGAAACTGAGAGCGCAGGGAGGCAGAGCCTCAGCTCTGCACCAAGGATCCTCACACTGAAGAACCGATTTCAGAGATTTACAGAATCATGGAGTTGTTTGAGTTGGAAGGGACCCTTAAAAGTCATCTGGTCCCACTCCCTGCGATGCACAGGGACAGCCACAGCTCCACCTGTGCTCACAGCCCATCCCTGACTGTGGGTGTCTGCAGGGATGGGGCACCACCACCTCTCACTGAAACCTGTGCAGCATCTCACCACCCTTAGTGTATGAATTTCTTCCTTAGATCAATTGAAATCTCCCCTCTTTTAGATTGAAGCCATTTCCCTTTGTCCTACCATACCATACTTTCCCTTTGTCCTCCTATAGAATCAGTCTCCTTCCTTCTTACAGCCCCTTCAGATACTGAAGGCTGCTCTCAGCCCCCCCTGCAGCCTTCCCTTCTCCAGCTGCACAGCCCCAGCTCTCAGCCTATCCTCATCAGGAGGTGTAGGGAGATGGATCATTGCTCAGCCTCTGCAGGTCCCTCTGATGGCATCCCATCCCTCAGGTGCGTCCATTGCACCGCGCAGCTCGGTGCCACCCACACTGTGAGGGTGCACTCAGTGCACTGCTGACTGATGGAGATGGGAAAGAGCACAGATCCCAGCCCTGAGGGACACCGCTGTCACTGCTCTCCATCCGGACGTGGAGCTGCTGACCGCAGCTCTGGGTACATCTCACAGCAGTGCCTCATCCACTGTGTCAAATCCACATCTTTCCCATCTGGAGAGAAGGATGCTGTGGGAAACTGTGTCAAAGGCCTCACTGAAATCCAGAGAGGTGATGCCTGCAGCTCTTCCCTCATCCACTGTCAGTGACGCCATCACAGAAGGCCACGGGTTGGCAGCCAGGCCCTGCCCTTGGTGAAGCCGTGCTGGCTGTGCCGTGCCACCCCTTCTTCCATGTGCCACAGCACAGCTTCCAGGAGGAGCTGCTCCATGATCTTCCCCAGCACAGAGGCGAGACTAACAGGCCGGTGGTTCTCTGTGTCATCCTTTCTATCCCTCTTAAAAATGGGTGTGATGTGCCCTTTATTCCAGTCACCAGGGACTTCAACTGGCCACCAAAATCTTTCAAATACCACTGAGCATGGCTTGGTGACTACATCTGCCAGTTCCCTCAGGACCCTGGGATGCATTTCATAGGGACAATAGACCTGTAGATGTTCAGGTTCCTCAGGTGGACACGGACCTGTTTTTTGCTTACAGCAGGAGAGCCATTGCTTCTTCAGTCCCATCAGCTAGATGGATGTGTGAAGAGCAGTCACCAGCAGAGGCTGAGGCAAAAAGGTTGTTCAGCACCTCAGCCTTCTCTTTGTCTGTTGTTACCAGCCTGCCTGCATTGCTCACTGGGGGGAGAATACCCTTTTGCACATTCCTTTCTGATTGATGCATCTGTAGAAACTGTTCTTGTTCTTCTCTGTACCCCTTGCCAAGTCCAGTTGGGCCTTGGCCTCCCTGACCCCAGCCCTACACAGCCCAACAGCATCCCTGTACTCCTCCCAGGCTTCTACCTCCTATGCATGTTCTTCTTGCTCTCAAGTTTGACAAGCAGCTCCTGGCTCAGCCATGCAGGTCTCTTGCCTTCCTTTCCTGACTTTCTACACCCCGGGATGAAGAGCTCCTGCACCCTGAGGAAAGCTTTCTTAAAGATCTGCCAGCTCTGCTCTGCTCCCTTGACCTCGAGGACAGATTCCCAGTGGGGGTTGTTGACAAATTCCATGCAGAACTGGAATTTGGCTTTCCTAAAATTAAGCTTCCTGGTTTTACTCCTTGTCTGTACAATATCTCTCAGGAGTGTGAACTTCACCATTGCTGCCTTTGAGAAATAGCCATGAGCAGGTTGAGAGCTTGTGGATAAAACTGAGGGACCGAACTAACAAAGGACATCTGGTGGTTGGTTACGGGAAAAAATAAATAAAGCAGAAAACAGAGCTGTGCTACTGAAACAGGATATTTGATAACTTTTAGAATCGTGGAATGGTGTGGGATGGATGGCAGCTTAAAGACAAGCCAGCCCCATCCATGGCCACAACCCTATCCATGGCCCTGGGCACCATGGGGATGGAGCACCGCAGCTCTGGGCAGCAGTGCCAGTGCCTCACCGCCCTCATAAGGAAGAATTTATTCCTGATGTCTGATCTAAACATGCAGTCTGATAGCTTAGAGCTGTTCCCCCTTGTCCTATCACTTAACTCCCTGACAAAGAGTCCCTCCCTGTTCTGCAGCCCTTTAATGAACTGGAAGGCCACAATGAGGTCTACCCAGACTCTTCTCTTCCCCAGGCTGAACACCCCCAACTCTCAACCTGCCTCCATAGCAGAGGTGCTACGGAGTGCTCCAAACTCTGAGCATAGTGCCAGCTTGTGTTCAGTATTTAAACCAAGAGCCCCAAGTCCTTCTCATGGTTGCTCTCAATCCACCCACTGCCCAGCCTGCCTCTGTGCTTGGGATTGCCCTGACCAAGGTGCAGCACTACGCACCAGGCCTGGTTGAATCACAGGCAGTTCACAACACACCACTCTCAGCCCTCCCCAGGTCCCTCAGAATGGCATCCCTTCCTTCCATCAGTCACACCAGGCAGTTTGGTGTCATCAGAAATCACGGACCTGTGAAGAAAAGTACAATCATGTGAAGACACAAAACCTACATAAGGACAGACAGATAATAACAGTGGATTGTTGCCCTCTATTCTGCCCCCGTGGGACCCAACCTGCAAATCTGTATCCAGATCTGGGACCACCAAAACAAGAAAGATGTGGAGTGGGTCCAGAGGAGGCCATAAAGAGGTTGGAGCACCTCTCCTAGAAAGGCAGACTGAGGGAGCAAGGGGGGTTCAGCCTGGAGAAGACTGCAGGGAGACCTCATTGTGGCCTTTCTGTACATGGATGCTTATAAATGGGAGGAAAAAAGACTTCTCATACGGGCAGATCACCACAGGACAAAGGGGAACAGCTTTAAACTAAAAGAGGGGAGATTTAGGTGGGATGGTAGGCAGGGATTCTTTACCCAGCGGTGATGAGGTGCTGGCACTGCCCAGAGCTGTGGTGCCCACCCCTGGAGGTGCCCGAGGCCATGGCTGGGCCCCGGGCAGCCCAAACTGTAGGGCAGCCAGCCCACGGCAGGGTGGGGCTGGGGGTCCCTTTCAATCCCAGCTATTCCATGATGCTCCGTGTGTGTCTCACCACCAAGGAAACGTGCTGCTTTGCTCCTTCTCCCACAGGCAGCCACTCCTTTGAGATCCGCCCCAGCACCTGCATCCCCAAAGCCAAAGCGCTGGGAGCTGGGAAGTGAAAAATCGCCTCGTCCAAATTTCAGCATAAATCGGGGATAATTAATGAGATGAAACGGAATGGCCGGGCTCCGGGAGCTGAAGCCGTGCCGCGCGCCAGGCCGGCACCAAAGGCAGCGCAGCCAGCGATCACGTGAGCTGCGGCACCACTCAAAATGGCGGCCCCCACACCGACTCTGTGTGTGTCCACCCCACTTCCGGTGGGCTGAGTGCTTCCGCTGGAGGCGGGACTATAGCCGGAAGTACGTATAAGGATGTGTAGGGTGCAACCTAGCGTCATGTGGCCTGCTTCCGGAGCGGGTCCTGCTTCCGGCGCGAGGCCTGCTTCCGGTGCGGAGCCTATTTCCGGTGACTGCCCGCCGGAAGTGCAGAATAGAGGCTCGCGAGGCCTTCACAGTTGTCACGGCCTCGCACATGGAGGTAGGATGTGGGACCCGGCGGAGCCAGGTGCTGCCAGGCCTGCTGTGCCCCTTGCTCCCTGTGCCTCCTGGCTCCTCTGTGCCTTGCTGCACCTTTTGCACAGCCTCGCTGCAACTCTGCATGCCCCACATCTTGCCTTTCTTCCTGTGGTGTGGAGCTCAGGATTCCTGGAGCTCACTCCCACCCACCTGCAGAGCTCGGTGCAGGCACTGCGGGTGGCCGGGCGAGCGGTTCTGGCTCTCAGGACATCGCTGACTGCGTTGGAAACACAGGGGAGCCCTGGGCGGAGCACCTGGCTGGGGCATCATAGGGAGATCTACAGTCATCCCATGGCACGTAGGCTCCTGGGAAGCGTTGTTCACTGATTCTTTGAACCTCACCCAGCGTGGTTCCCGGGGGTGGAAATAATGTTTGGGAAGCAAAGCGTGTTTTAAATGCTCTGGGCACATTTCCAACAGTACAATGCTTGCTTTGCAGGAGCCCGTCACCTTTGAGGACATCGCCATCTACCTGAGCCGTGCAGAGTGGGACATGGTTGCAGAGGAGCAGAGGGAGCTGTACTGCAGCGTCATGCTGGACAACTATGAGCTCTTGGCATCACTGGGTAACGTGCAGCTTCAGCTTCTAGAGGGCTGCAGCAGGGGTAGGGAATTCCATCACGTTTGGATTCATTGGGATCTTGCTGCTCCCATTGCTTTAGGGATTAATCAGCTACAGAGCCAGGTAACCACCCTGAGCACCTGTAGTCCTGAGAGCTTCGTGCTGGAAAAGCACAAGATTTGGGTGTTTTTCTGCTAGTGTTGGCTGCTTATGAAAATATAATTGCAGTGACCTGCACACACCTCAGTGTCGGGCAAGGACCTGCCTTGGGCCACCGCCTCAGTCTTCTTCCCTGGTTGCTGGCACAGGGATGCTATTTGTGAGCCAAGGAGTTGTAGTAAGCAGCAGAGTAGGAACAGCTTGTAGGTGACAGACCCAATGTGAGGACAGCTGGCAGGAGTCACTCGGCCAGCAAGGAGACCCAGAGATCATCAGCTTGTGATGGTGGTTGCTGTTTGCCTGCATAAGGGCCTGAGACAGGCCCTGGAGCACATCCTACACCCCAGGGCAGCTCATGGGACAAGCTGCTGATCTCCATGGCTAAGGAGTGCTGCCAAGCACTGCCTTTTGCTATGGAGTGAATTCACGTGACAGCTGTGCTAGTTGTCTTCTTTTTCTTTTTTTTTTTTTTTTCACTGTGGTTTCTACTCAGGCTTTTCTGACAGTGAAGCATAGCTTAAGACATCAGAGACAATGTTTCATTTCCTGTTATTTCTACAGCCAACGTTTTGTAATAGAACAACGTTTATCTCTGCTTCACAGGGTACCCAGGCCCCAAACCTGACATTCTGCATCGGCTGGAGCGTGGGGAAGAGCCATGGGTCAACACACCGCAGAGCCCAGTGAAGTGGGATGGACCTGACAGACCTTTTGGTGAGAAGTTGCAGTTCAGCTTCCTCAGTACTGCTTACCTGGACAAGGAGCACATCCCAGGGTCCTCACCAGGGTCCTCCTTCTATGTGGTTAGCACATCTCTGTGCTTTCCACTTGCTCTCCTGTCCTGATCTCTTCTCTCCATGCTACTTGTATTGAGAGCAACTCCCGTATTTCCCTCTGGCCATGCAGCCCTTTTTTGCACTTGCTGATGATGGCTAATGAAGGCTGTCATCCCCTGCATGAGTGCTGTGGCTCAGCAGGGTTGTAGATCTGCCGCTGCACCCAAGGAGAGTGCCCCCTCCCAGTGCCTATGAGTTGAGCAGTGGCTGCTGGTAGCAGATGGGAGCTACCCAGAGAGACTGTGGAGTCTGCTTGGGGATCTCCAACACCACTGTGATGTGGGGCTGGGCACCCTGCTCTGGGTGGCCCTGTTGAGGCTGTGGGGGAAACAGAGGGACTCAGAAGTGCCTCCAGCCTCAGCCAGGCTGTGATTTTGTAGGGCCTTTTCCTCCAGTTAGGTTGCTGTAGAACAGGAGGGCTTCTCCCGTTGGGAAGGAACATCTTTCTGGTTTCCCTGCAGGATGCAGTGGGGGGAAGAGATGGCTGGCAGAGTCGTGCTCCAGCAGGTGGCTGAATGTTGACAAGCACAAAGTGATGGAGGAGACACACACCCCCAGTCATGGTGAGTGCTGGTCCTGCCCCAGGCTCTGCAGCTGAGAGCCTGATGTGAGAAGGCAAACTGTCCTCCTCTCTCTAAACAGGAAAACAACGTGAGCCATGGCTGCTGCGGTCCAGCAGACTGCTAAGGAAGTTCGGGTGTCTTGAGGGCAGGAGTGAGTTGCGGTCAGAGGCAGCCAGCATCCAGCCAGCGCCAGAGGGAAGCCAAGAGAAGGCACAGATAGGCTGTTTGACCAGGAATTTAGAAACGGAGGATGAACGAGGGGTCAAGACAGAATTAGCACAAAGCATGGGAAATGTGGCTTCTTGCAAGCATCTGCACAATAACTGCATGGAGACATTTCAAGAGACTGTACAGAAACCACATAATGTTTTAGAGGAAGTAAGTGTTTTCCAGGCAAACAGGGGACGAGGGGAATCTTCTACTAAGGACCTGAATGAAACTGTTCTGGAAGACCACTGTTACTGTGTGAGTAATACCCTGCGCTGCACTCAGTTTCCACATGCTCTGAGAGAACATGACTACTGCGGTAGCAGTGATAGCAGTGTCTCAGTGCTCAGAGACCACCAATACTGCCAGGTACAAAGGTTTTCTTACCGGGACAGAATCCGTAAAGTTGTTTGCCGTACTTGTAGGTTTCGTGCCATAGCTTACAGGCTATCAAAGCGAAAATCCTACGTAGAGCGTATCATCTGGAAAGCTAAGCGGAGCGTGCGATTCCTCAAGCCCACCTTCAAAAATCTGCGGTTTTCTCGAGCTTTATTCTGCACAAAATGTCTTTTTCCTGTGTCATCATCTGTTCCTCTGGCTAGGGCAGATGACTCCACGAAGGAAACTTGTGGGGCGTTTTGTCCTCCTGCAGAGCAGGTGGCTGTGCCCCAACAGTCTCAGAAGAAAGAAGACTCCCAAGAGGTGACTGTGCTCCCACAGCCCGAGAAGGAGGACTCTGAGGAGGAGACATCAGAAGAACCCAGTGACCCTGCAGCACCTCTGGAATCAACAGCTGCATCGCCACCCCTCAGTGAAGCTCAGGAGGTGCAGGGTGTAGCAGCACAACCTGAAGCACTTGTGCACCAAGGGATGCAAGAGGCAGAGTTGATCCACGAGCCTGACACTCATCAAAACACTGAAGGATACAAAATTGTTAATACAAATTATGGATTGCTGCACGATGCTTATGAAATGGTCGTGTGGACTGTTGATCACGTGCTGGAGTCTGCGTGCCAAGCATTTGAGCTTGGTGGCTACAATCGGTGCAAGGAAATGCGGCCTGTGATTACCCAGTCTGACAGCTGACCACCAGAACGTTAGCAGCTGTGCCTGCTCTGTCATGCTGAACAGACAGAACCCTGCAGCAAAACCCACTAATGTGGCTTAGCAGGAAAAACTGAAAGGTGTACTAAGGGATCAATGCACAAATGGATACTACCACATAAATGGATGCAAAACTTGGTTTGTAATGCCTGCTGTGATCACCTGGGAGGCTTCAGGGAAAAGCCAGAGGAAGAGAAGTGAGACTGGTGCAAGTAAAAGAGGAAGAAGCCCGGGAAAACTTAGAAGAGATGGGAGAATAAGGGCAGCTGTGTGTTAGCAGGCTGCTGACTGGTTTACTTTCTGGCTGAGCTGTGTGTGATCACTGTGGACTTCCTCCTTGTTCAACTATTGCCACTTGTTTGTGTGAGCCCATGCTCACGTGTCAGCATGTGAGCTGTGCTCGCTTGCCTGGGCTGGACTAGGCAGAAAGGCATCTCAGGGTGCCGTGCACAGCTCTGCCTTGGTGCAGGCAGTGTGTCGTGTCCTGGGCTCTCCCTCTCAAAATTTAAGCTTTTTGACTATAGGGGAATTCTTAAGATGGAATGATAATCTCATTTTTTTAAAGAAACTGCATATCTCACTGTTGTGCAAGCAGGCGAGGATGTATTGTGCAAAGCCTTGCTGTATTCTCATGTGAAAACTATTGGGAAAAAAAAAAACATTGGGAGTTTTGGGATGCAATGGGAGGTGAGGTTCTGATACTGGGATGGCTGAGAAGAGATGCTGGGGCTGCTTTGTGCCAATGCAGCCACATCCAGTGGCCCTGGCATGGGGCACAGCAGATCCCAGCAGCTGAGAAGGCGGTGCCTTTTAGTTGGTCTCTGTTCCTCACTACTCAACTGTATTTCCATTATCAATAAATGAATTTCCCCCCTTTTCTTGAGTGTAACCAGTGAGTGACATCTGTGCCTTACTTCCACCGTGGAGCTTTTCAAACACCTGATAGCCAAACTAAACCTGCCCTTGGAGCTCAAAGCCCTTTCCCTTCCTCTCACCACAGACCCTGCTGAAGAGTCTGTCCCCTCTCCTTCAGATACTGAAGGCTGCCCTCAGGTCACCTCACAGCCTTCTCTTCTCCAGGCTGCACAGCCCAGGCTCCCTGCCTGCCACACAGGAGAGCTGTTCCAGTGGGAGGCGCAGTCCCCATGGCGGCACCGAGGAGCCGTGGGACACAGCAGTGCTGAGCACACGCTGTCAGGTGGGAAAATAGCCGAACTCGGCAGCTCCCGCAGCCTCTGAGGGCCAGGCCCAGCGCCTCGGTTCACGTGGGGCACGGCGCCAGTCCCGCAGGCTGCCGTCCAGAAATGGCGCCCGATCAACCCAACCTGCTACCGCCACAAAATGGCGCCTCCGAGAGCGACAGCCAATCGCGCTGCCGGCACCGAGTCACGTGGCTGCGCGGACTAGACGCGCGCGCCGCTGCATGGCGTTGTGGGTCTGAACATCACTTCCGGGTCACGGGGCGCGGCGTGCCTGAGGCGGTGCTGCGCCGGAAGTGCGTATGAGGATGTTTACAAGGGCTGAGATCTCCTTCCGCCGTGGTTGCCGGGCTGCGGCGGGGCCCGGGGCCGCATCCGGCTGAGCGGCGCGGAGCCCTGGGCGGCCCACGGCCTCCCCCGCCCCGGCTGTGCCCACGAGTTTGCAAACGCCGTGACATCACCCAGCTTTGTATCAGAATGGCGCGCGAGCAATACAGTCTGCTCCGCTGACGGCGCCCGCGTGTGTGAATGCCGCAGCCGCCATTTTGGTGGCTGTTACCGCAGCAGCGCGGTGCCGGTTCTGGTGCAATGCGATCGCCGCCCTCTGGAGGGCATTTTGTAGCTCACCTCGCCAGCCCAGCAGTGCCGCGTTCCCAGCCGTTCTGCCCGTTCCCTCCCGCATCCCATCTGTGCACACACACCTGGGGCAACTTCATTTGCTTTAGCAACCACAGACTCCCTAGAAATCGTTCTTCCACGTGCGGGTCCTCAGCTGTCCGCTCCTCCATGACACAAAGTTGTTCTGTTTATTCTCTATTCAGTCAGCTTTGCTGGACTCCTCGTTGTCCTGCCGGTGGTTCTTCCCAAGTCTCAACCAGGCAGCTTGAGAGGTGGCCCGTCTGAACTTCGTGTTGTTCAACGAGGCCCAGTGCAACGTGCTGCCCTTGCGTCAGGGCAAACCCAGGCATGAGTAGAAGGCACCGAGAGCAGCCCTGCGGGGAAGGACTCAGGGGTTCTGTGCAAATGAAATGTTGTTTCTGCATTAGATATGAAGAAGGGCAATTGATCTGAAGAAGTAGAACATGCTGTGTTTGTATCCTGTAACTTATCCTTAGAAGTAGTTGGTGTAAAAAGTGGGAGCACGGTACATGTTGGTAGCTTATCTTAGGAACATAGTTGCTGAATTATGTGATTCATTCTTTCTTGCAAAACTGCAATAGTGTTCAAATGTTCCAAACAATGCAAGCATAGTGTTAGGCACTAGAAAACATATTGTAGGGTTGTTCTGTTAGGATAGGAGACTCCCAGCAAAATAAAACAGATTTAACAAACATCAAAGAAGCCAGGGCCTCTACCCAAGGCTGGACTGTCTCACTCTGTGGGAAGGCATCCAGATACTCCCCTCTACCCTCCTTCCGAGCTTATCTCTATGCAAAGAAGGACAAGCAGATGTCCAGAAACAATGACCAAGTGTGGAGTAAGTGTTAGAAGTTAATTAAATAATTAGAGGTTTATGCTTAGCCAGCAAAGATTTATGTTTATCCAGTATCTGTATGTTTAGTGAAGCGTCAAGAAGACTGTGAACCTGAAGTACTCATCCAACAAGGAACTAGGGGAGGAAGAGATAAGCATCGAGTAAGAGGGCACAAAAGATGTAACACTGTTTTCTGGGCACTCTCCTGCTTACAGGAGGCCCGGCATTGCAATTGCAAATAAAATCTGCTTTATCAGAGATACCGTCCTGATAAATTATTTGGACATTTCCAACAGTTCTGATGGTACAAAGCTGCACATGATCCAGCAGTGTGCGCTCACAGCACAGAGTGCCAACAGTGTCCTGGGCTGCATCAACAGAGGGGTGGCAGTGGGCAGGGAGGGGATTGTCCTCCTCTGCTCTGCCCTCATGGGACCCCATCTGCAGCACTGCCTGCAGAGCTGGGGCCCCCAGTGCAGAGAGATATGAAGCCCTGGGAGCAGGTCCAGAGGGCCGTGAAGATGCTCAGAGGCTGCAGCATATCTCCTGCGGAGAAAGTCTGAGGGATCCAGGAGTGTTCGGCCCGGAGAAGAGAAGACTCAAGGCAATATAGCAGCATTCTCTTGTCCTCCCCCAGACCTCAAACCCAGCGTTCTCTATCAGGCAGATCGCGTGGAAGAGCCATGGGATTGTTATAAATGTAGGTAAGCACGTATTGTGCAGAATGCTGCAGCCTTCCCCTTCCAAATCTTTCCAAAGCATCACTGCAGTAGAAGAGATAAAAAATCCTTTTACAAGTATGTCAGTGGTAAGAGAAGAACCGAGGAAAATTTCCGTCCTTTACTTGATGCAGCTGGGACTGTAACCATTGAGGATAAGGAGAAGGCTGAGGTCCTCAACACCTTCTTTACATCTGCCTTTAACAGGCAGATCAGTTATCATCAGGGCATTTTACACCCTGATCTGGAAATCTGGGATGCTACACAGAATACACCCCCATCTTGGGTGAGATCGGCACATGCGTGGCGTCCAGGGGATCAAACCCAGCCAGCATGGGTTCATGAAAGGCAGGTCGTGTTTGACCTTCTATGACTGGGTGACCAGGCTGGTAGACAAGGGAGAGGCTGTTGATGCAGTGTGCCTAGACTTTAGCACAGCTTTTGGCACGGTCTCTCACAGGATTCTCCAGGGAAGCTGGCTGCCCGTGGCCTGGACAGCTCTACCTTTCTTTGGGCAAGGAACTGGCTGAGGGCCGTGCCCAGCAGATCGTGGCGAATGGAGCGAAGTCCTGCTGGTGACCCGTTACGAGTGGTGTCCCACAGGGTCGGTACTGGGGCCATTTGTTCAATATCTTCATTGATGACCTGGATGAGGGCATTGAGTGCACCTCAGTAAGTCTGCAGATGACACCAAGCTGGGAGGTGGTGTGGATCTGCCTGAGGGCAGGGAGGCCCTGCAGAGGGATCTGGATCAGCTGGATGGCTGGGCTGAGGTTCAACAAGGCCAAGTGCCGGGTCCTGCACTTTGGGCACAGCAACCCATGCAGCGCGATGGGCCTGGGGACGAGTGGCTGGGTGAGTGTGAAGAGGAGAGGGACCTGGGGCTGCTGGTTGGTGCTGGGCTGAACACGAGCCAGCAGCGTGCCCAGGTGGCCAAGAGGGCCAACGGCATCCTGGCCTGCATTGGAAATGGTGTGGCCAGCAGGAGCAGGGAGGTGAGCATCCCCTGTGCTTGAGAACCCCTGCACCTTGAGCACCGTGCTCAGTTTTGGGCCCCTCACTGCAGGAAAGATGTTGAGGCCCTGGAGTGTGTGCAGAGAAGGGCAGCGAAATGGTGAGGGGTGTGGAGCACAAATATGAGGAGCGGCTGAGGGAGCTGGGATTGTTCAGTGTGAGAAGAGGAGCTCAGGGCAGAGCTCACTGCACTCTGCAGCTTCCTGAAGGGAGGCTGTGATGAGGAGGGGTTTGGTCTCTTCTCCCAGGCAACAAACAGGACCCGAGGAAACGGCCACAAGTTGTGCCAGAGGAGGTTTGGGTTGGACATGAGGAAGAACTTTTTGTCTCAGCGGTCAGGCATGGAATGGCTGCACAGGGAGGTGGTGCAGTCGCCGTCCCTGGCAGTGCTCAGGAGGCGCCTGCATGAGGAGCTGCGAGATCTGTTTAGTGCTGGTGGTGGCCGTGGTGATGGGAGGGCGGTTGGACTGGATGATCTCGCAGGTCGTTTCCAACCTTGTGATTCTACGGTTCTATGATTCTATGGTTCTGTGATTCTAGGACTGCAGTACAGAACTGCCATGGGAGATTTGCAGCCTCTGCGGCCGCCCCGTGCTGATCACTGGTGCCTGGGGTCACAGGGACAGGGATGAGGTGGTGCAGAGGGACTCAAGGACGCAGGAGGTGGAGTCCCAAGACACCACTCTGGGCAACCATCACCTTCCATCATCCAACCCCAGCGTTTGAGGTGGCAGAGGGGGAGCTGCCCCATGTCTTGCTCAGAGGGGAGCGGCCTCTTTGCACTCCTCCAGCCCCTCACTACTGCCCTCCCCAAGTGACTGACCGCAGTGGGAGGCCCCACAGAGAGCTGGCCAACAGCAGGGTCAAGGTCCAGGCAGGGGGAGCTCAGTAGCACCGGGCAGCTGAGCTGTGCCCCACGCAGCGCCATGAAGCTGGGGTTGCTCTGCGCCCTCACCATGGCCCTTCTGGCCCTGGCCATGGCCGACCTCAAAGACTCCAAGAAGGGGAAAACGCTCACATGGAACAGAGAGGTTGGTGGTGGGTGAAGGGAAGGGTTCAAAGACAGCAAATAATGGTCAGGAAGGGAGGGAGGCTGTAGGGAGATGCCATGAGGAAGGGGACGGCCCCAAATGCGGTACAGCGCTGCAGGAAGCAAGCCCCCCTCACCGCACCCCAAGGGACGCCATCTGCTGTCACCAGCACCCTGTGCTGGGCAGGTGAGGGCCCTGGAAAGCTGCTGTCTCCATCCTGGTGCCCTGTGCTGCTCTGGGCAGGAGTGGCCCCAAGGATGGGCTAGGGGCAACAACGTGTGGCCAAGCCCTTCAACCTGAGGGGCTGCGCTGTGGGGAGCCTGGAGCGTCCCAGGGCCCTTTGCTCCCCAAAGCACTGTGACCACTTGCACAACCAGCAAACATTTCATCAGGGCTTGGCAAGGGGCTGAGAACGGAGAGGAGGGTTGCTCTTGGGGTCCAGAAAGTTGTCATCCCCTCCTCTTCCTCCCCATCCTTCTCTTCTCTCTCCACCACCCCACTTGCTGCCATGCAGCTCAGTTCTGCTCCAGTCCCACCATGGGAGAACAGCACCACACAGGTGCCAGTGCTCCTACTGCAGCCCATGGTTGTCCCACTGCTCCGAGGGCCCCGCAGTGCCCCCACTCGGGTCCCCATGGGGAGCTGACTCCTTCCCTCTGCAGGCAGGGACGCGTGGCGGGGGCCGGCGCCGACCACACCAGCTGTGCTCGGGGTGCTTCTCTGTGCTGAGCGAGGTGAGAAAGGGGCTGGGGACAAAGGAGGGGGGGAACCCACACACCCCAACACGGGGGCAGTGGGGGGCTCTGTCCATCCCCAGAGGCTCAGCTCTTGAGCGCCCCTTGAGAACCCCCCCAAGAGGAACACCGGGGGCACCCAAGACATGCTCCCCCCACATCACTCTGGACACCCCCTCTGCAGGAGTCCATCGCAATGTCCCGGAGCACTGGGGACGTGGATGAAGCTCAGGCAGGCAGGCAGGTAGGTGCAGGGACCCTCCATGCCACCAGCTTGGCTGGCAGATGCAGCACCCCCTCCCCATACCCCACAGCTTTGACATTGCACTTCTTCCCGTGCTCTGCCCAGCAGCGCACCAGGAGGGGAGTTGAGAAACCTGCACAGCAACGCCGCAGCCACTTCCCAGAGCCTGGGCAGGTAACAGTACAGCAGGAACAGCATGTCACCTTGGTGACACCCGAGCCCCTGAAAGGGGATCCCTACAGGGACCCTGTGCCACGTCCCCACAGGTGTCATGCTGTGTCTTGCAGGACAGGAAAAGAGGAGCAGCGATGGCCAAGCACAGGCCTGCGCCATGATGGAGCTGGGGATCCCAGCACCCCCTGACCGCACTGCAGCCCTGAGGAGAGTCAGGGGGTCCTGCTGTGCCTCCCGCATGGTGGGGCTGCCCCGCCACCCCAGAGTGCTCCTGGGGGGCAGCACCCCCACCCACCGCGTGAAGCTGCCAAATAAAACCACCAAACCAGCCTGAGGACGCCTGTCTGTGGAGTGGGGCTGATGGAGGGAGCCGTGTGCAGGCACAGAGCCCCCACCTGCCCTCCTGCTCAGCCACTCAGCTCCTACTTTGTCCCCATCTCTATGGGTAATGGCTATAGAGGGCACCACATTCCCCTCCATCCATGCCAACAGAACCGGGCACCTTCATCTCTGCCCCCTCCCTCAGCCTCCCTCCAGCCTGCCCTCTTGCAGTGCCCCAAAGACATGGAGGACCAGGCGCCCTGTCCACCCCTGTGAAATGAGGTTTATTTGTTCAGTGGGGAGAATGAGGAACGGGAGAGGACAAGGAGAGGTAGGACACCTGTCCAATTAGCCACACCTGCCCAATTAGCATTAATGAAGGCAAGCAGCGAACCCACTCAGCCACAGTCATTGTTGGGCTGTGAAATGCTGCCTCAGAGCTCTGCAGCAGATGGAGATGTTGGCTGGGAGGCCAGATGGTGGGGACACGGCTCTGGAACTGCCCAGCCCTGGGGCAGGAATGGTGCACAGCCCCAAACGTGCTGCAGGAGACAGGGATGAGTGAGGGGCACTGGAGCGTGATGCTCTGAACACCCTACATCAGGATATGGATGCGTCCTGCAGCAGTCCAACAGCCTGGGGGGGACACACGGGAAATGTCACCAGCGTCACTCAGCAGCGAGGCGTCGGCAGCGATGAGCCAGGCAATGCCTGCAGGTGCTGTGGTGAGTTCAGTGCCAGCACTGGGATGAGGACATGGGCTGTCCGAGCCAAGAAGCTGCCTGGCACTGAGGGGCAAAGGTGGGAAGCGCTGGGCCCCGAGCACTCTCATGCACGGGTTTCCTTCTGCTCCAAAGGGAATTGAGCTCCCCCTGTGCTCCCCAGCCTGCGCAGGGTTTGATCCCATCCAGAGCCACGGATGAAACCGAATCAGCTTTACCAGCCCCACTTTATTGCAGCATGGATCCATGCGCACTGCGGGGCAGGGGAGTCCTGTATTGGAAGCAGGGGACAGGGGGTACAGGAGGGGTTGAGCTCACCATGGTGGGGACCCTGCTGAGGAACAGGCAGCGGCCAGGGCTGGGTTAGGGAGCGGTGCACCACCCCCATCATAAAGCCCCGAAATCCCGTGGGGCCGCAGAGCTGTTGGCTGCTCCGGACCCACAGCGAGGAAGCGCCAGGCCCAGCACCGCCGGCAGCACCATCTGCAGGATGCTGACAGCATCGGAGCCGTCGGGCAGCGCACGGCTGCCGCGCCAGGCCCGGCTCTCCAGCGCCCAGCACCGTCCCTCCAGGCGCCGGATGGCATCACGGAGGCGCCGGCGGCTGCGGATGAGCGCAGCCACATCCCGTGCCCTGCCCCGTGCCCCCTGCTCCAGCCGTGCCAAGCGGCCGCGCACCCCCAGCACCTCCCGCTGTGCCGTGCCCACGTCCCGGCGCAGTCGGTTCAGCTTCTCTGCCACAGCAGTGCGCAGCTGTGCCAACTCCGCCCGCAGTTCCAAGGTTCCCCCACAGCCACGGCGCTTCCTTGGGGATGCAGGGACCCCCCCGGGACAAGTCCTGGGATGAGCGCTGGAGCCCAGAGCGGACGTGGCCCTGGGTGCCCCTGTGGCCGTGCTGCAGGAGCTGCAGGGTGAGCGCTTGGTGCCACCCAAGGAGGGTCTCTTGGTCGCTGTTCCCATGGCAGGGACATGGGCACACGGCCGCATGCTGCCATCAGTGCAGCTGTCCCCCAGCACACAGTTCTCTGCAGGGCTCACCGTGGTCCCTGGAGAGCGTAAGAGACCCATTAGTGGGGTGTCCCCAAAACACCCCCACCCATAGGATGCGGCACGCAGTGCGGTGCTCACCTGCAGTGGGGCAATGTCGGGGTGATGCCTCAGCACCACTCAGTGCCAACGCAGCACCCACGGGGTCCCGGCACGGCGCCTGCACTGCCACAGACCTCAGACACCGGAGCAGACTGCGCAGCGGGGCCTCGTCCAGCACTGCAGAGAGCAGAGGGGACAGATGTCCATCAGGGCCACCCCCACCCAAACACCACGCCTGCCATAGGATGGCTCCATCCCAGCACCATGGCACCAATCCCTGCCCCCCACCCGTCAGGCACCTCCTGGCCCCAGTAGGTGAATTTGTGATGCGTCCTGGAGCAGCTCACTCACCAGGGCTCATCTCCAGCCCCCTCTGCTCCTCTGTCCCAGTGTCCCCAGTGGATGTGTTCATGCTCGTCCACTTTGAGATCTCCATTTGGTGGACACATGGTGTCACCAGGGCTTTGCCTGCAGAGACAAACCAAGCACTGAACACTGGGATATCCCCTGATCGCCCTGCTTCCTCAACACAGGGGTAGAGGTGAGCACTGTGCACCCCAAAAAGGTGCCAGCCCCGAGGCCTTGTACCCCATCCCCAAATCCTGAAAACCCTCCCTCTGCCACCGTTGCATCCTCCTAAAACCCACAGCCCAGAGGTGCCCTGCTGCACCTTAAAACCCCAACCTGACTATGGGGGTGGGATCCTGGGACCCACAGGGCAAACGTCACCTGCAACCACAGATACGCCACAGCACACCGAGTGGCAGATTTGGGGCAGGGCCCCCAGAGGAGTGTGCCATCAGCTACACACCCACCTGCTGCAGAGGGGCTCTGGCCCCCCCTCCTCAAGGCACTTGGCTCCACAGCCCTCCATTTGCCATGGGAAGCCGCCAGTGGGGAATAGCACGATGTCTTTGGGATGGTGGTGGCCCTCAGACACTCGAGCAGCCCTTGCAGGGGGCTGTGCCCAATGCTCCCAGCTGAAGAGAGCACACAGCATCAGCAGAAGGCACATTAGAATGGAGGGCAGCAGAAACCCCTCAGGGACACCCCCATGGACTGGTCCTAGAGCAACAATGCAGGACTGTACTTGGGACTTGACCACACAGGGATGCCAAGGGGAATCTCTCTCAGGAACCAGACCCCCCCAGGATTTTCCCCATATCCAAGAGGCCCCACAGGTTTCACTCCAATCACAGCCCTAGTTGTGACACCGAAACCCAACGCTAGTGGCCATGGGGACCTGCAGTTCACCCTGCTGCCAAGAGCACTGTGCCCAGCCCAGCTTTGCCATGTCATGCTTCAACGTGCCATGCTGTACTGTACCCTGCCATGCCATGCCACGTGCATGGATCCTTGCCATGCCTCACCTCCATGTGAGCACAGCCCCCCCAGCTCTGCCCGGTGCCCCTCACTGCTGCTTGGAGTCCTGGGTGGGCGGGGGTCCCCCCTCGGCAGCTCCTCCAGGCACCTCTCCAGGCTCCACAGTGGGGAGCTCTCAGCCAGCGCTTCTGGTTTAACTGCAAAAACAAACGCTGTCCCCACACCCTGCTGATGGCCCCCCCAGTTCCCATCAGCCCCATGCCGTCTGCCTCCACTTCCCCAGCACTCCCATCTTCATCTCTTTGCCTCCTCCCTCCCAGTGCACCCATGTGGGATCTCCCTATTTCCACGAACCTCAGTGCCCCCACCCTGCTCCCCAAACCCCCCCATAGTGCATCCACACAGCACTTCCACTGGTACTGTGGTACCGGTACTGACCCCACTGCGGTGCCGTGGGCGCTGTGCTGCTGGGGCTGCCATGCCATGATGGTACTGCTCCCTCCGGGACATTGAGATTGGAATTCTCTGGAGCTGCCTGTGCTTCACCTGTGCATAGGGAACATCCCCACAGTGGTGGCTGTCACCCACCACCATGGACCCTTCATCCCTCCGGCCCCACACTCACCACCTGCACCCAGAAGCTCAGATCGCAGTGCCATATCCCCAGCAGCAGCAGCACGTGGCCCTGCAGCACTGGAGCTGCCAAAGAGGAACTGGGGGATGTCCCTCACCAGGCGCACCAGGGCACAGAGGGACGCACTGCTCGGGGGTCCTCGCGGCTCCTGCCCTGCAGCTGCATCTTGTGGTCCGTCCGCATCTGCAGTGCCAGAGGGAAGCGCCAGTTCTTCACCTGGAAATGTGGGTGCTGGATCTTGCACCGTGCCACCTCTTGTCCCCATGGCGGTGGATGGGGACGTGCAGACAAAGCTGGAGCAGCCCCTGTGGTGCCCTACCAAGAGATGCCAGCAGCTGCGCCGTCGCTGCCGTCACCTCGCGGTGCAGCTCCCGCTGCCACTCCTGCAGCAGCGCCCACTCCTCCACTGAGAAGCACACCGTCACCTCCTCCAGCGTCACCGGCACCTGCAGACACAGATGGTGGCAATGCAGGGGAGGAGGACATGTCCCTCCAGCAGCACCTGCTCTGGGCACGGGATGGTGCAGGAATGGGGCTATGGGGTACAGGGACAGCTTGCTCCTCGAAGGGGACAATGCAGAGCTCGGCCTCGTGGGGGCTGCAATTGCACCACTGGGCACCACGTGTGGCCCAGGTCCATTCAAGGCTGCAGGGGCAAGAAAGGATGTGCCTCTGGGGTGGGAGCTGTGGCTTCACTGGGGTACAGCAGAGCTGGTGGCACACTGTGAGTCGTGGCACAGACGTCCCTGAAGTGCTTGTGTCATAGAATCATCATAGAACCTGGATTGAAAAGGATGACAATGCTCATCCAACCCCCTGTTGTTCCAACCCCTGTTGTGTGCAGGTCACCAACCAGCAGCCCAGGCTGCCCAGAGCCACATCCAGCCTGGCCTTGAATGCCTGCAGGGATGGAGCATCCACAGCCTCCTTGGGCAACCTGTGCCAGTGCCTCACCACCCTCTGAGTTGTGTCAGCTGTGATGCTGTGTGTCACACACACATGGCATGCAGAAACCCAGTGCCCAAGCGCTGTGCCCTCCGAACACCCATTCAGCACTGCTTGGCGGAGGTCTGAGGTCCCGCGCTCCACATCTGCTCCAACCAATTGTCACTGCAGCCACAACCAGGAGTCCCACCACATCCCCGTGCACACAGCTTGTGCACTTCGCGCTCCACCAGTGACATGATGCATCCCGACACCATGCTATTTGCAGAGGTGCTGCTGCCCAACCTCATGCTCTGTATGCCACGCGTGATGCTGGCAGTGCTCCATCAGGGACGTGCCAGGAAATTAGCACAAATCGGCCAAAAAGGGTCTGCAGCCATCCCGCGGGGTTGGGGGTAGGCAGAGTCCAACGCTCCGCCCTGGGGGCTGCGGGGTGCAGGGAGTCCCTGCAAGGAGGGCACTGCTGGTTCTGTGCCCCCTGTGCCCACAGATACAGCTGAGGCAGAGCCCTCCCTGTGTCCCAGAGCCGCGCTGCCCCCTCCTACCTGGCGAGGCACAGCCATGGGTGGCTCCGTTGGCGGCTCCAGGGCACCGGGAGCTGAGGGGTGCCCTGTCCTGCCGCCGCCCGCCCTTGGAACAGCTCCACTCAGGACAGCTCTGTTGCCCCTCGTCCCCCCGGATCCCCGCGGTGCCGGTGCGGGACGCTCCTCGGGGCACAGCCGAGCGGGGGAGCCGAGGAGGGCCGGTCTGGGCAACCCGTGCGCAGAAGGGATGGAGCGGAGCTGTCAGGGGCGCCGGTCAACGCGATGCACAGCGCGCCCCGAGGTGCCGGCGCGCCACGTGAGCCACGCCCCCTCCCTAAACCACGCCCCCAAACGGTATCCAACCACGCCCCCGAGCAGGTAGGCCACGCCCCCTCCGCTCCTGCAGCCTCCAGGTGGCGCCCGATCCCCGCGCTCGGCCCCGCCCAAGCGGGAAGCGCCCCCTCGCGGCCCGGCGGAGCGCGGCGGCCTCAGGGCGCGCGGTGCCGGCGGCGGCGGCCATGTCCTGCCCGGGCCTCGCTGAGGTGAGGGTCGGGGCCGGGCCCCGCGGGGTTCCGAGGGTCCGCCTGGCGGGGCCGGCCCGGCAGCGGCCCCCTGCAGCCCGACGGCGGTCGGGGACAGCGGGGGTCCCTTCTGGGGGGGTGCATGCCGTGGCGCCGGGGGTCCCGGGGTGCTGGGGCTGTGGGTGAGGGGCGTGGAGCCTCTGGGCCCTGCGGCGGTTGGAGCGGAGCGGCCCGGCCGGGCGGCGGCGCCTCCGGGGGTCGGGCGCGGTGTGGGCTGCGCTGGGCTCCCCCCAGAGCGCCCCGCGGCGCCGGGCTCCGGCCCGGCCTCCCGTCCCGTCTGTTCTCCTCGCAGGCTTCGTCGTGGAGCACGCGCACCCGCAGGGCTCGGGCCGCGCAGGCCGCGGGGCAGGGCGAAGCTCAGGCCCGGCAGCTGCGGGAGCTTTGGAGCCGCACCGAGAAGGCCGAGCGGCGGCTGTTGGCCTTCGAGAACCTGGTGGGAGAGCTGGGCAGCAACCTGGCGGCGCTGGGCAACCTGCTGCAGGGCTACGGGCACCTCCAGCAGCGCCTGGACAACGTGGAGAACCTGCTGAAGAACAGGAACTTCTGGATCCTGCGGCTGCCCCCCGGCACCAGGGGCGAGGTGCCCAAGGTGAAGGCGCGGGGCTGCGCTCGCGGTCCTGCCGGTGCCGTGAGCCCTAAGCGCCTCGGTGGCGAGGAAGGGCCGGTTCCCATCCCCGCGGCTGGGGTGGTGAGCCCCGCAGCTGCGCTGCTGCCGGTGTCAGTGTGCAGAGATGTGGCAGAGAGCGCGGCGCAGACCCGGTCGTACGTACAGCGTGGGCTGCGGTTCTGTGCTATAGTCCTGCAGCTCTGTCCCTGGTGCCGCTCTCGCCTTGAGTTGTCTGAGGATCTGCAGCCCACAGCTGGCTCTGCATGCAGGCCCTGGAAGCACAAACGCCACAAATTGTGGAAATGCTGGAGCGCTCTGCTCTCAGCGATGCGCTGGGGCAGATGAACACATGTGAAACCGAGACTTGCACCCCCCGCGTGGCCAGGCGTGCTTTGCCCTCAGCTCCTGCGACCGAAGCCAGGCGTTCCCTTCATGTGTGCTACTTCCAGTTATCTGTAATTGCAGCAACCGAGTCACCAAGCGTAGCGTAATGTTAATTTGTGGTTCCAGGTACCCGTCACATTTGATGACATTGCCGTGTACTTCAACGAGCAGGAGTGGGAGAGACTGGACAGCTGGCAGAAGGATCTGTACAAAGCTGTGATGAGGGGTAACTACGAGACCCTCATTTCCCTGGGTAAGGCACGGGCTCTGCTTCTCCCAGTGAGCTTCTCTTGTGTTTAACTCGGGCTGTTTCTCTTTTGTTCAGTGAGGCTGACTGCCCATGGCTTGCAGAATCTGGGCAGCCAATCATTTTCCATCCTTCCTGCTTGTTACCAGTAAACAAAACCTATAAGTGATATATAGTAATAGTTAATAGTAGTGATAATAATGCAAACAGCATCTATTATTAAAAAAAAATATATCCATATGTGATGCTGTTCTTAATGACTGTATGAGAGGATTCAGGATGGTCAGGGAACCATCATGATCTTCCAGCGCAGTTCAGGAATTATCTAGGTGAAGTCTGATAATTGCATCTTGAACGACGTTTTGTTTTCTGTCTTTTTAGCACTGATGTAAAGCGACAGGGACATTTGCACATGCCTTGGTAAAGAACCAACTTAATGATGTTCAGTCCTTCTAAGGACATTTGACATGGTCTTGGATGGTTTGGGCTAGAAGGTATTTCTTATCAGAAGCTGTTTCTTGGGCAACTGGTAGCGTGGTGGTCCATGCAGTTACTGACAATGAGACTTCAGTTTTCTCAGTAGAGACTTCATTTTTCTAGCAGTACTCTGTAGAAACAGCAAACCTGTTCTTAAAATGGTCCATCTGACACAGCCGTCTCTATGGAGCAGGAATCTTTCTGTCCCTGCCTCAGAACTGAACTGATCTGATAGCGATGGATCAGCCATCTTCAAATCACTGCTAATGCTGAGACTGGAGGAAAATGTTAAATTCAGAGCCTCTCCTTTGAGGTTTTAGGTCACCGTCCATTATTTTGATCTTTGCTGTACTTGAGCAACAGCTGTGCTGATGTGTGAATCCCACCACGGAACCACTGTTCTCCCTTGTGTCAGTGCAGGTGGGAGGTCTGCGTCTGTCCAGGCTGCCTGCCAGCCTCTGGGGCCGGGCAATTTGCTACAGTAACAGCCAGTTCCTAACAAAACCTGTTGTCCTCTGCTTCTCTGAGCAGACTATGCTGTGTCCAAGCCTGACATCCTGTCTCGAATTGAGAGGGGTGAAGAGCTCTGTGTCAAAGACTGTTGGAAGCCCCCGCAGACGCTCGACCGAGGAGCTCCAGAACCCCCGCAGATGGTCCAGGATGGGCAGGAGCTCACGCAGACACACAGCCCAGGCAGTGAGGAGCCTCTGCAGGCACACATCCAAGGCAGGGAGGAGCCCATGCAGGGCTGCAGCAAAGACAGTGAGGAGCAGCTGAAGACACGCCTCAGAGATGGTCAGGAGCCCACACAAATGTGCATCAATGGCCACAGTACCCTGCAGACGTGCATCAAAGGTCGCCAGGAGCCCCTGCAGGCACCAGAAGAGATGGACCAGATGGAGGAGGCTTTGGGAAAAGATGTCCGTGTGGAAGCTGACAGGGGTAAGTTTCACATGTGCCAGAGGGACGTGGCAGGTCCTGTCTCAGCCCTGTCAGATCTCCCATTGATGTCTGTCAGGAATGACCTGCTCTGAGGTTCTTTTGATTGTATTGTCTAGTTAACTCCGTGACAGATTTTTGGACAGCTACCCAAGAGAAATGTTTATGCTTGGCCAGATGAATCCTGTGGAGACAAAGGGCTCGAGTAGAGCCTGCAGCAGCAGGGCAAACCTCGTGGTCTCTTCCAGCCCTTTTCCTGTGCAGTTCTGCAGTCCTTCACCTGATTGCACGCATCAGCCCTAATGCTTCTGTAGACAGTACTGCTTGCTTTGCTGAGAGAGGAGACCTCGTTGGAAGTAGGAGCCTGCAGTGGAGGGAGGAGGCTGGAGCAGCCTTGCTAGCTCTAGGGGCTGCAAAAGGAATCAGGAGAGCCATGGGGCACGGCAAGAAAGAGTTGGAAAAATTAATTGCCAGATTTTGAAGGCCAGGCAAGAAAGGTAGAAGATGCTGGAAAGCTGCAGTCAGAGCCAGAGGTGGAGCTGTGTTTGAGAGCTATTTCTTGTTGGAAGTACAAGCTGGGGGCTGCAGAAGCTTCAGGAAAGGCAGAGTGAATGCTGACAGGCAAAGGGCAGGCTCTGTCCTTGGAAAGTTACTCTGAAACTATAGGAGCCCCGTCATGACTGCAGGTTGGTTTGTGAAGCTCCTTAGGAGATAGAAAGTGATGTTCCATGGGCATGGTTTTTCCCTCTCCATTCAGATTTCAAGTCACGTTCTGTTACTCAGATTTTCTCTGTACTTGAGCTGCAGTTGTGCCTTATGGGCAGATCCTACCATAACACCATGAAATCAGCACCACTTTGCCTGTTAGAGCATGGGTAGCATTTGTGTCTGTCCTTCCTGCCTGCCATCTCTGGGGTTAAGGAGGAACGGTCGTTCTGAAGTTTCTGACCTTTCAGCAGAGTGTTGTTGCAGCCAGTTCCTAACAAAACATGCTGTCGTCTGTTTCTCTGTCCCTAAGCAGAGTCTGCTGTGTCCAATCCTGACATCCCATCCCAGACAGATAAGAATGAAGAGCTCTGTGTCCAAGACGCCCAGGAGCCCCCAGCGCCGTTTATCCAAGACAGTCAGGAACCCCCACAAACATTGAAAGAGATGGACCAGAAGAAAGAGGCTGTGGGAAAAGAAAAAGTCCATTTGAAAGGTGGCACAAGTAAGTTCCCAGGGTGCCAAGAGGAAGTGCTTCCCCAGCTGTTCCTGTCCCTGCTGTCAGATGTCCCAGCAGTGTCTGAAGGAGGATATGGCTGGCCTCTGTGCTTAGAGGAGCACTAGCATGGGAAGGCAGAACTCCTGGGGTGTGCTATTAATGTGCTACTAGGGAAAAGTGGAAGATGTTTAATGTTCTGAAGGCAAGTCATGGAAGAAATGCCATCTGTAGGGTCAGTGGAGAGAGTTGAGGAGGGAGTAGGCTGCTGTGCAGAAGGGATGGCATGTGGCACTTTGGTGGCTCTTCCCAGATCTCTCTCTGCTTTTGATCCTGCTGTGTGGCTTCATTCCAATTCCTGCTGATGCCTTGCACATTTTTGATGTCATAGAATCATTAAGGTTGGAAAAGATCACTGAAATCTAGTCCAGCCATGATCCCCACCTCACCATGCCCTCTGACCACGTCCCTTAGTGCCACATTTCTGTGGTTGTGGAACACCTCCAAGGATGCTGACCCCCACCCTCTGGGCAGCCCGTGCCAGTGCCTCACCATGCATGTCACACATCTCCAGGTAGCATCACACCAAAGCAAGGAGACAGAAAACTGGGATGTTTAAAATTGCTTTTATCTCCTTTACAAACAGAATTTCCCAGGGTGGTGATGCATGTTTTGTCCATGAGTGCACAGAAAAAGGAGGTAAGCAGGGAAGATCATCCCGACTCAGAGGTGGAAGATGACCCAGCAGAGTTTGGCTCTGGTGAGTATCCCTATATGTGGAGGATGCAGCACACAGCAGGCAGGAAGCAGCTCCAACAGGCTTGGAATGAGGGCTGAGGGGAATGTTTCTTTTGCTGCTGTCAGGGGCATAGATTGATCTAGTGAACTCCGTGACAGATTTTTGGACAGCTACCCAGTGAGGAAGGGCTCTGGTGCAGGGCACAGTGTTCAGCTCTATCATCTCCACAGAAGCAATGAGTTGGAGATGGTTCTGTCAGAAATTAGGGGAAATGTGCTCATTTGCCTGTAACATTTGGCATTTACTGACAGATGCAAGTTTGACAGGAGCAAAGAGCCTGGAGGTTCTGCAGAACGCGGCCCTCCCATCACTTTTTATCGTGCTACACCTCGTGGCCTTTGTTGGTATTGTTTGGGGCGGCTCTCTGCACAACCTGCCCTGGTGGCACCGCAGGGGAGCAGCAGATCTGCCCCTGGCACCCACTGGTCTGCTTCATGCATGTGGGCAGCAACTCTGCAGCAACACCTGCGCCTTTCCACACTGCGTTCTCAGATTTGTTGGCAGCTCAATTAAGAAGTGTGCTCAGTGCTTTGAGACCTTACCAAAGCGTCAGATTGCTCTGAGGGTGAGTGACTCATGGCTCCGTTGTCTCTTTCCAGAGGAAATCTTTCTGTCAGAAAATGAAAAGGCCTCTGAAGCGGCTTCTCGTCCTGTAAGCGTCAAGGTGAAAGAGGAAAGGCCCGTGGCCTCACAAGAGGCATCTGCACCTTCTCCTGACCCCGAGGTCCAGAAGTGCCCAGGAGAGCAAGGCAAACCCAAGAGCAAGAAGAAGCCGAGCAGGTACGCGAGCAGCAGCCTGCTGATGGGCGACTGCCGGCGCGGCTACGTGCGCGAGTGGTCGCACCCCTGCACCGAGTGCGGAAGGCGCTTCCGCCTGAAGATCAACCTCATCATCCACCAGCGGAGCCACGCCAAGGAGGGGCCCTATGAGTGCACGATATGCGAGATCAGCTTCACCGACAAAAAAAGCTTGGTCCTTCACCAGGGCATTCACACACAAGAGAGGGCCTTTGCGGCCAAGGTGTGGGGGAACACCCACCCGGAATTGAGGATGGGGCCGAGGAAGAAGCTCTGCAGGTCTCTTCATGGCAGTGCCCAAAGCCTGGCTTACGGGACACGTGCAGGGGGGTCCTGGCTGGGCCAGGCCAAGGAGGAGCCATCCAGACCCTATTTGCCACAACAGCAAATGCCTAGCGCTCATACAAGGAACGTGGTTAAATGCAACCTTTGCAACAAGAGTCTCTCGTGCCCCTCTTCCCTCCAGCGTCACCTGAAGACCCACAAGCCGTACTGCTGCTCCACCTGCAAGAAATGCTTCAGCCGCCAAACTCACCTGGTGCGCCACGAGCAAATACACGAACGCCAGAAAGCCCTGGAGAACCAGCAGCCCAAAGCAGAGCAGCCCACAGCAACGGCCGGCTGGCCCCAGCCATAAGGAGCCCTGGATGCCCGGCCAGAGCGCTGCTCACACGCTGAACCAGGCACTTGAGAAGTGCAGCCAGAGCTGTTCAGTGAAGGCACTCCTGGTGCTTGCTGCAGAACACATACTCCCAGATAATCCTAGACTTGTGGTATCCCAACTTGGAAGGCACCCTCCAGCGGCACCGGTTCCCATTCAAGAACTGCCGTATCCACTGCTGTGGTGGGAGCGCAATCCGGCCTGCTGTGAAACTAGGAAATAGGGTGGCAGTTTGGGAGGCAACAAACGACAACAGGAGAGATTCCAAATTGCTTGTTTCCCTAGGGAGAAACTGAGCATCAGGACGGATTTTTGCACACACTGGGATGGTGTGCCATCTATCAGATGGACTTCCCGTGGTTGCAGAATGAATCAAAGCCCGGATGCCATTATGTAGAACAAATTACGGAAGCCTCTGGTGATACAAAATGCTTTACTGTCCCTCAGTTTTGTGTCTGCTGGCTGATGCATGAAACTGTCCCAAACTGACCTCCCCACATGAGCAGGTATGTCTCCTGCAGCCCAGCAAAGGAAGTTGTAAGCAGCTGTTGAGCTCAGCTGTTATTTGATGCTGGAGCCAACCACTTTGTTTTGGAAACAGAATTTAACAGTGAAGTGGAAGGACAGAAGGGTCTCAGACTGGAAAATTAGAGTGAATTCCCAATGAGCTCTTCATTTTGGTGACCGTTTCTTGGCCACGATTGCCAGGTGGAGAACGGGGCACTTCTGAGATCCCATCATGTCCTGGCCATGCTTGTCTGATAACCCATCCTGCTGATTAAATCCACTGAACTTGAGATCTGCTGGGGAACACCAGTCCATTGAGCTGGAAGACAGGCAGAACAAGACAACCCGCGACTCTGCAGGGATGTTGTGGGTCGGGTCCCAGCAGCAATCTTCCCTTGAAGAAGGCCCGCCTTCAAGATGGCTAATAGCCTCTTAAAAGCTAAGAATGCTTTTAAGAAAACTCTGCAGGTAGGATTCCTCCTGTGCTGCAGCACAGCCTGCACAGGGACCCCCTTGCCTTGGATGTGTTGGCTGACACAGAATCACAGAAGCATAGGGGTCAGGAGGGGCCTCTGGAGATCCTGCAGTCCAACCCTCCTGCTAACACAGGTTCCCTATGGTAGGTTGCATAGGAAAGGGTCCAGGTGGGTCTTGCTAAGTCAGCTTCTCTGCACTGGAGTGTTCCTTCTGCTCGTCCCTGCTGTGCCCTGAAGCCATGCACAACCCCTCTATAACCACGTGGAAGAATAGTTACGCTAGCTACCTCAGCTGTCCCACGGAGAGGCAGCCTGGTAGGTGACAAAGCCAGGCCAGAAGGGCACTGGTGGCTCCAGGAACCACGTGAGCCACCAGATGCTCTGCTGGGGAATACAAAACACGTGTAGAGAGAAGCCCTGCTGGCATCGCCACGCAGGCCAAGCTGCTAGCACACTTGAGTTCTTTTTTTCCATTTAATTGTTTGATGTGATTACTTGAAATTATGAAGTGTGTGCCCCTCTCTGGGCAGGGTGTGTGGGGAACCAATTACTTTAGATTTTTCATTCCTGGCCACCTGTTAAGGTCTGAAGGGCCACAAGGTGACATTGCCTGGCCACATCCTATCGCACGCATCCATGGTGCACAGGACAGGGCTGGGCTGCACTGCTGTGCCCTGTTCTAAATGCTCCAGGCCATTCTCACGCTGTCCTGCACTTGTCCCCAGCACCATGGCACTGCGAAGCTCCATGAGACAGGAGTGGCTGCTGCCTTGCAGGCTCTGAGGTGATGGTCTGGCAGCAAGCTCTGCTGCAGCGTGGGCTGATATTGGTTGTCCCTGCCCAGGTAACTGTCACAGTAAATCCCTGCACTGCAGGGCAAGTCAGCTGCTGCAACGGTGTCATCACACACCTCTGAGTCTGGGGGCTGCGGGGAGGAGATGGGCCTGGAGCATTTGCTTTGTGAGTGGGACCAGTCTTTTGTAGGAAATCTCTCATCCCTTTCTCAGGCTGTGGAATCAGTAAAATGTTTTGTCTGTACGTGCGCCTGTTCTTGGTTATCTTTCTGCAGGTGTATGTGTTAGTGCTGCTCACATAGAAGGGAGCAGGGGCTGCACTGTGCAGCTTAAGGGAGATCTGGCCTCTGAGCATCTGGCACGCTGACTGATCTGTGTGTATGGCTGCACCTGCACACACCTCTATGGCTCCCAGAGCTGCACTGCTTCCATCTCACCCAGGAAGTCCCTCATGTGGGTCCCCATTGCCATTGTGGGCCTGAGGGTGTGAGGGAATGGCATGGAGCTGCATCAGGGGAGGGCAGGGGATAGAGAGAGGCTCTGCCCCAGAGAGCGGTGGGCACAGCCCTGAGCTGCTGGAGCTCGCAGAGCATTGGGACAATGCTCTCAAACAGAGCATTTGGTGGCTCTGTATGTGGCCGGGGTCGGACCTCAGTGGTCCTTGTGGGTCCCGTCCAACATGGGACATTCACTGGGCATCTTTGGCCATCAGTGGCCCATGGCAGTGGCCACGCTGCATCATGAGGGCACGGCCTCCCAGCACGCAGTGCACAGAACGGGCGGGGGGCGCTGGGGGGCATTTTCTCGGCCATTGCTGAGGGGGGGGGGTGGGGGTGCAGTAAGGCTACGCCCAACGCATCAGCACCACTGTGCTCAGGCCCGGCCTCAGTTCTGCCACCGTCCACAGGGTGTCACCAGGCTGCCACTGTCATCCCCCTTATCCTACGACGTTCCTAGGACGCCATTGTCCCCTCCTTCATGCCGTGTCCCACGCGGCTGCTGTTACCACACATCACCTGGCCAGGATGGGTGTCCAGCCTCAGCATCCCCTCTGCTGGGAGGCGCCGTGGTGGCCGTGGCCATCAGTCCTTGGTGCTGTGCCCACATCCTTCACAGTGGGGCCACCCAGTGCTGCCCAACCAGTGCTGCATCCAGGCAGCTCTCAGCCTGCCCCCATAGCAGAGGTACTCTGACCTGCTGTACCCAGAGCACGGTTGGCTTCTGGGCTGCAAGTGCAGCGTCTGCTTGTGCTGGGATGCATGACGGCAAGGGCACCTGGGACAGGGTGCGACAGGACCGAAATCGCAAAAGCTGGGCTGAGGAGAGGAGGAGGAGGGGCTGCCCATGGGCGATGGAGCTTTGGCAGGCCATGGGGCAGAGCAGAGGGCAGATAAGGGCTTTGTTGTGCCAAGAGCCGCAGTTTGCAGCTGAATGGGGCTGTGAATAGGAGCTCTGCATCTCTGTAGCCAGGCTCAGAGCTGGGCCTGAGACCCCAGGCGGTCAGCAGCACCCATGTAGTGACGCCAGACAGCACAGGGTTTTGGCGGGGACATGGGGTGACAGGCATGCAAGGACAGTACCGCGGTGCTCCCGCTGTGGCTCCGGCCCCATCGACACCCAAGCTCAACAGGAGATGGCGTCAGTCCAATCCTTTATCCAAACCTCTCCCCGTTTGTGTGGTGACTCCGGTTGTCCCAGCAACAACAGCCTCTCCCTGAGCACCTGCACTCCCCAGCCAACCTCAGCGCTGTTACGAACTGAAGTAACCCTGATTTCAAGTGCTCCGTTCCCTGTCCCACAGTGCCCAATGCACCGAGCTGCTCTTTGGCTCAGCCTTTTTCCACCAGGCAGCAGCACAGCCCAGCTCAGCCCTACCACCAGACCAGCTCCGGTGGGTCCAGGGCCACTCGGTCTCCTCGTGCTCACGCAGTGGATCAGCCGGCTCCATCCTCATCCCTGTGGGGCTGTGATGCCGGCTGCCTGCCGCATCCCTCCACCGCAGGCTGCCGCACCTCTCCACCTGCAGAAACGCCGCCCCTTCCATGCCATCTGCAGCCCTCGTGCTACGGATTATCCTGGGTCAGCGGCTTGCAGCGGTCCGTCCCCGGCCCGCGGTTTGGCAAGCTGGCAGCGGGAGCGTTGGCCACGGCGTGGACCTTCTGGTGGTGGTTCAAGGACTGCCGGTGGCGGAAGCTCTTGCTGCAGCCGCTGCACTGGAAGGGCCGCTGCTGGGTGTGCCGGCGCTGGTGCTCCTCCAGCAACGTCTGCATGGGGAAGCTCTCCGTGCACTCGATGCAGCGGTAGAGCCGCTCCCCGGCTGCGCTGGCACGCGGCCGTCCCGCCCAGCCGCCCCGCAGCTGCACCCCGTGGATGCGTTGGTGTTTCTGCAGGTGGTGCTTCTGGATGAAGCCCTTGCCGCAGGCGGGGCAGCAGTAGGGCCGCTCCCCGGTGTGGATGCGGTAGTGTTTGTTGAGGTTGGATTTCTCATTGAAGCTCTTCCCGCAGGCGGGGCACTGGAAGGGCCGCTCTCCCGTGTGCAGGCGCTGGTGCCGCAGCAGAGCGGCGTGGTGGGCCAGGCTCTTCCCGCAGGCCGTGCAGATGAAGGAGCCGTTGCTCTTCCTCGCGTGGCTCTGCTGCCGCGCCAGGAGGCTGCGTTTCAGCCGGACGTTCTTCCAGCCCGGTGGTGGCGGCACACGGGGCTCATCCCCCGCGCCAGGCGGGCCGTGCTCCTCTGTGCCAGCCTGCGTCGAGGCGGCCTCTGTGGCGGCGTCCTCCCCCAGCAGCATCCCCTGGGGCAGAGCGAATGGCTGCTCGGTCTCTGTGCCGTGCCCGTGTTCTGATGGGAAATGCAAGGCCGGGGCTGGGCGAGCTTCCACTGGGATGACTGCAGGCTTGAAGTCAGGCTGAGCAGCCCCATGTTTGCAGAGCTCCCCTAAGCCCTCTGCTGCCGCCTTCTGCTCATCCATGACGGCGTGGCTCTCCCAAGGCACCGGCGGCTCCTGGCCCAGGGGAACCTCCTCTTCCAGCCTCACAGAGGACACCTGTGGCAGAGCAAGCATTTCCAGTCCTTCCTCCTGCGGCTGCTGCTCTTCTGTCTTGATCACGATCTTCTCACCTGCTGAGAAACAGTAATTCATTCCCAGCAAAATAAAGCTCTCCCATGCCTGTATCCCCAACAGTGGAGCAGAAGCTGGCCTTCCCCGGCAGCACGCGGGTGAAACATGGAGCAGACAACCAGCAAATGTGCTGCTACAGATGGAGCAAGAGGGATCTACCACGAGCAAAGGGGGAGAAGGGCACAAGGCAGAAGGGCACTGTGTCTGCTGGGGGCTGCCTGGGGACATTCAGTGGAGCAATGATGTAATATTCATAAAGAACCCAAAGCAGGAAAACATGAAAGCAAAAGTGCAGCTGCAGAGTCCTCTGTCCTGGAGGGAACTCTGTTAGGAACGGCAGAGATTAGTTGGGTAAATCTAGAGGAAATGACCAAAGCAAAACCTTCCAGGAGCAGGACTGAGGCCACAGAGCCACTCTCACACTAAGCCTTGCCCATGCTTTTTCCTCTCTTGCCAAGTGTGCTGCTCTGGGCTTAGAGTTTTGGTGTGGTCTCTTCCAGATTTCCTTCCCCCTTCGGCACTGATTTTCCTTTTCCGTTTTCAATTTCCATTCACTCAACCTGCACACAACCCTTCCCCACCATCCTTGGCATTCACTGCAGTGCCATCAACGCCACCACTGCTGTGACTCACCGCCACCACCGTGCCCCAACACAGCTCCCTCCTCCAGCAGCCCATGGGTCCTGGAAGCTGAATCCTCCCCATCCTCAGTTGGCAACAGCAGAGCAGATTTGGAACTGGTGTCCCCGGGCCCTGGGGGAAGAAGCAGATGTGCAAAGAGCTGATCCTGGGCACCAACATGAGCCGACAGTGTGCCCAGGTGGCCAAGAGGGCCAACAGCATCCTGGCCTGCATTAGAAACAGTGTGGCCAGCCAGAGCAGGGAGGTGATCATCCCCCTCTACTCAGCACTGGTGAGGCCGCACCTCGAGTATTGTGTTCAGTTTTGGGCTCCTCACTACAGGAAAGATGTTGAGGTCCTGGAACGTGTGCAGAGAAGGGCAACAAAACTGGTGAGGGGTCTGGAGCACAAACCTTATGAGGAGCGGCTGAGGGAGCTGGGATTGTTCAGTGTGGAGAAGAGGAGCTCAGGGGAGACCTCACTGCACTGTACAACCTCCTGAAGGGAGGCTGTGGTGAAGAGGGATTTGGCCTCTTCTCCCAGGCAACGAGCAGGACATGGGGGTATTGGCCGCAAGTTGTACCAGAGGAGGTTTTAGGTTGGACATAAGGAAGAACTTTTTCTCTCAAAGGGTGGTCAGGCACTGCAATGGCTGCCCAGGGAGGTGGTGGAGTCGCCGTCCCTGGCAGTGTTCAAGAGGCGCCTGGATGACGTGCTGCGTGATGTGGTTCAGTGCTGGTGGTGGCAATGGTGATGAGGAGATGGTTGGACTGGATGATCTTATAGGTTGTTTCCAACCTTGTGATTCTATGATTCTATGATTCAACACCAGCACCCCTCAGGGAAGAGCTGCTCCTGCACGGCTGGGGCCTGGGCGCAGCTTCTGCAGGACAGGTAGAGCAAGGAGGCTGATGTCAGCCACGCCGGGTGTCTGACTTTAGTTACCTCAGCAAGAACTGAACTTCGGACTTTATCACTGTTTTAAAATTTCAGCCCAAAATAACCAGTGCTAAAATTTAGGACCGCTCCCAGCAAATTCCTCCAGGGTGGTGCATTGTGTGCAGGGGAACACCTGTACTGGAAGGCAGGATTGCAGAGTGCCGTGCCAGCGAGGCACGACGTTCCCCCAGTGCTGAGAACCACCAAAGGCTGAGGATGTGACGCACAGCTGTCACCCATGACCAAACCCTAACGGTGCCAAGGCCTTGCCATTCACTGCTTGTTCTCCAAATATCCAGATAACAGAGTAACCTATGCAAAGCAAAGTTCAGCATGGGATATGACAGTCTGACACAAGCACAGGGAATGAATCTCACCGAGAGAGACCACAGCCTCGTAGCTCCCCTTCACTTCCATCCTGTACAGCTCCTGCTGCCGGCTGTCCACACCGCCCCACTCCTGCTCTGCCAAACAGGCAGCATCGTCCTCACCTGACGCAGGGACCTGGAATGGCAGGAGGCACCTCCTGAGCGCTGTCTTGCCTCGTCTCTCCCCACACAGCCCCCCTATGTCTGTGTGACAGCACAGAGCTCTTGAGGAAAGGCCCATGCCCTGGCCTGAGGCCTCTCCCCTAACAGCCAGGAGGTTTGCAGCTCCTTCTCCAGATCCACGCCATCAACCTGGGGCAGTCCCCATCACATCAGAGCATGACATGTATGGGAAGGCATCCTATCCTGCAAGGCATCTAGCAGGGCTCAGCAGGGCTACATCTGTACTTCGTTCCCTTTTTTTCACTGGAGATGGGGAGGAGCTGGAAGGGCTCAAGGCAAAGCTTGGAAGGAGCCACATCCCTGCTGCCCCGCCCTGCACAACACCCACAAGAGCATTCCATCCGCACCGTTACCTTGAGCGCATCCTCACTGCCTTACACACATTCGTTGGATGAAGTTTGTCCCAGATTTCCTGAGGCTGGACCCCATTCCCCAGGGCTCACCCTTGCTACCTTACACTTGGTCCTTGGCCCCTGTTACTCCGAGCTTGTTCTCCACTCCCTAGCATTCATGCCCTGTGCCCCAGGGCTCATCCCCATTACCTTGGGCTCTCTGCCTGTTCCCTGGCACTCGTCCCACGTTACCCTGGGCTCATGCGCTGTGCCCTGGGATTCACCCCTACTACCTGAGGCTCACTCCCTGTGCCCCGGGGCTCATCCCCGTTCCTTGGCGCTTGTCCCTCACACCACAGACGCGCCCCCATGACCTGACGCTCACCCCCGTGCCCTAAGGCACATCTCCCATCACTTCGGGCTCAACCCCGTTCCCTGGGGCTCATCCCCCGCGCCCTAGCACCCACCCCTCACCCTGTCGCCTCCCCCCGTCACCTGAGGCTCATCCCCGCCGGTTCCCAGCCCGTTCCGCGGCGCCCAGCCGGCTCTGTTCCGCAGCTGCCTCTCGACGTGCTCCAGCCGCCTCGCGCTGTCCCGCAGCAGGGCGCTCAGCGCGGCCCAGCGGCGCTCCAGCTGCCCGCCGACCTCCAGCACGGCCTTCTCCAGCTCCGACATTTTCTTCTCGGCCGTCTCCGCGCGGCCCTCCAGGCTCAGCAGCCGCACGGCCTGCGCCTCCACCTTCCGCTCCACCGCCTGCACCGCCGCCACCACCGTCCACAGCGAGATCTCGTGCACCGCCGGCGGCCGCTTCGCCCCTTCGGAGGGGACGGCGACGGGGCCGGGGGGCTGCGGGGGGAGCGGCTGCCAGGCGTCGGGCCCCCACTCGGGCTCCTGCGGGCGGGGAGAGGAGGAGGTCAGGGACGCGGCGGGGCCCTCCCGCGCCCTCCCCGCGGTGGCGGGGCCCGACCCGGGCCCGTCCTCCCCGCCGCGGCGGGTCCCGCTCCCGGCTCCCCGCGGCGTCAGGCATCGCGGTGGAAAGGAGGCCCGCCGCCCGCCGCGCCCGTACCTGAGCGGGGCCCCACCGGGCCATGGCCACCCCACACCGCCGCCGCCGCCGCGCGATGGCGCCCTCTCGCGGCCCGCCGAAGCGCCTCCGCTTCCTCAGCGCCGCCCGGCCCTCCGCACTGCCCCGGATCCAGACGTCACTCAGCCGTAGGCCTCCCACGACCCCGCTCGCTCCTCCCAGTCCCCAAAGACCCCGAATCGTTCACAGAATCGCGGAGTTCCCCCTTCTCCCCGTACAACCCCAGCTCCCGACCCCCCCCCCCCCATTCCCAGCTCCCCCACTTCCAGCCGCTCCCTCAATCACCGACCCCCCTCACCCCCCCCCCCCACCTCTCAGTCCCCAAAAGCCCCACCAACGTTCACAGAACCACTCCGTTCCCAGGACTGGTTTAATTAGCCCATTAACCAGCCCGCCCCACAGCACGGCCCCCATCATACAGGCACAGGCAACCCCTCCCCCCATCATTTTCCAACACGCGTTATTTTCCAACACAACCCACTCTCGTTCCCTCGCTGCCCACCAGCAGTGCCCACCCCACATGCAGTGCTCCCTCCAATTCCACCGTTTTAACCCCGAATTCTTCCCGTCACGGCTCTAAAATGCCCCCGGCTTGGCAGCCTGGCAGGGGTAGACCTCAGGGCAGCAGCAAGGACCCGCAGGAGCTCCACGAAGGGCACAGACATGGGATGCTGCGGCGGGACACGGATGTGGGACACGGACGTGCTGGAGGGTGTCTGTATAAAGGTGACAAAGCTGGAGGTTTCCCAGCAGCAGCACAGCAGAGCTACATGCAGCTGTGGGGAGGAACCCAATTCCCACAGCCAGAGCCCCAAAGCAGCTCCTCCCACCTTCAGGAAGAGGAGCACGCAGCCATGGGCGCCAGGCAGGGTGGGATGGTCCAGCCACAATGCCCAGAGCCCACGGTCGAGGATGGAGAGAGAAGAGCAGGCAGCAGCCCCATCTTCAGAAGTGCCCCCTCGCCCTCCTCTCCCCCTCCCCTACACAGGCTCAGAGCACAGAGGCAGTTTGCTGCCGCTCTCATGCGGGCTCTCCCTTCTCATGTCGCTCTTCTGGTGCCCTCACGAGCAGTGGAGCTGCTTGTAGGCTTTCTGGCACTCGCTGCACCAGTAGCGCTTCCTGCCCGCGTCGCTCTGGCTGTGGCGGACGAACTCGGAGGCCCAGACAAAGCTCCTGTTGCAGCAGAGACACAGGGTGAAGTGATGCCGGTCAGCGTGCGTCCTCTGGTGCAGCACCAGAAAGTTCTGGCTGGAGAAGTTCTCCATGCATTCGGTACACGTATACGTGATTTTCTGAGGAGACAGCGGGAACCGGCTGGGGTTGGACTTCTCCCACTGCTCCCTGGTGCCGCTGCCCTGGGTGTGGGGCTGGGCGGCCCTGCAGGGCGCCAGGCTGGAGCCCCCCTCGCTGTTGGAGGATGGGCAGAACCCCGTGGCCGCCCGGATCCGCAAGTGACGCCGGATTTTCTTTTTGGACTTGAAGGTCTGGTTGCATTCGATGCAGTCGTACGGCACCCAGTTGCTGTGGCTCTTCTGGTGGATGATGAGGTTGATCTTGAGCAGGAAGTTCTTCCCGCACACCACGCACCTGTAGAACTTCTCTCGGGAGGAGTTTCGCTGGCAGGCAGCGGTTCTGCCCACGCTCTCCTCTGGCTTTGCCAGCAGATCAGCCGAGCTGCTGGGCTCCACGTGTGCTGCTGTTTGGCAAAGGTCTGGCATCTCCTCCTTGCTCGGCTCTTCAGGAGCATCTGCTGCCACACACTGGCCGCTGTTCCCTGCACCTTTCAAGTCCTCCTTTTGCAGACCCTCCTCGGCACCGATCCGCTCCTGCAGGACCTCTCCTGGGATCCCCACCTCAGCACCTGCTGGAAATTTGGCAGAACCCCAGCATCACTCTTCCGCTCAGTTCTGAGAACAAGGCATAAAGACCCAGGGGGCATAAAGACCCTCATGTCTCCCTCTCTCCTCGCCCAGGAGCTGCTACCAATGCCAGCACTGCTCTCTTCTTCCAGCCCAGTGCCTTCCCAGACCACAGACCCACCCAGAGCACAGCAGGACACCACTACAGCCAGTCACCTCAGACACCCCAAGGGATGATGAACATCACTGAGGATGGGAAGAGCCCAAAAGAGACATCAAGGGCTCATCCTTCAGCGCCAACCAACTGACTGACTTGGTTCACACCACGCCATATCCCATTTTTATATAGTTTCAAAGCTGGTAACTGGATTTACTGCACTAACCCCTTCTTGGCCCATGTGAATCATATAGAAATCTGTCCAAAAAGCCTCAGCAAAGGTTCGTGCAGAGCTAATGCTGCATACTGTGCTCCCTGAGCCCCCAGCCCAGCAGGAGGGAGGAAGGGCTCTGCACTTTACCTGCTGCAGGAGGAAGAGATGGAAGCAGGCTCAAGGTCAGCACTTCCTGGCAGCACGTGGGGATGGGGCAGGGAGGGGAGGTAGCCAGGTGGCTGAGATCTGCTGGAGCTCCTATGGCTTCCTGAGGAATGTGTGCTACAAGGGCAGAGGCGGGGATTACGACCTCAGGTGAGGCACAGCCAGGGCTCAGGGTCCCTCGCTTCGGTGGACTCGCCAGACACTCGTGTGCACTACTGTCAGATGCATCCGAAGAGCTCCTGCTGTCCTCCAGGTTCCTGCATCTCCCTGTAGAAGACTGCTCTGTCTCCACCTGCAGCAAGGCTTCACCGCTCGCACAGCCAGGACCGTTGGGTTCTGGGGACAGAAGAGTGCTCATCATCACCAGCCCCTGCTGGGGTCCATAGGAGTCAGCACAGGGCCTGAGGGTCCCTTCTGGGGGTCTCAAGGCACTGGGCTCCGTGCCAGGGGGAGAATTCGAGGCTACTGATGTTCCCAACACAATCCCCTGTGCACGGCCACAGGAGCTGCCCCTGTCCCTGTGGCTGAGGGCAAGGACCGCTGGCGTGCTGGTAAGCAGGCAGGAGCCAGGATCCGTGCATGGCTGAGACTCAGCATCACTCACCTGCAGCTGGCTTCAGGGACACCGCCGTGCCCTCCAGGCCTGGCTCTGCTGGTTCACATGGCTCTCCTCTTTCCATCTGCAATAAGACTTCAGGCTTGGCTAGGTCACAGTCTGCTCAAGGACAAGACAAACATCAGAGACGTGAAGCATCTTTGCAAGTGCATCCACTGTCTTCTGCACGTGCTGTCATCATACAGCCCACACCCCATCCATCAAAACCTCACCTCCAAACAAGCTGCACGCCAGGAGTTACAGGCAAAGACAGGGAGCTCTATGGAGGATCTGAAAAGCGCCCTCAGGCTCATCTGATAATTCATCTCTGCTCCACCTAGGATTACTACACAAACCTGTTCTCCCAGAATTCCCCCACACAACAGGTGTAAAGTGCCCTGAAGACAGGAAAACAATCTGGCCCACTGCAGGATTCGGCTCGTGCCTCATTTTTCACCTGGGCTGTACTTGGAGGTGAGCTCACGAGATGCTAAGGGGACACCAGCTGCAGGGAAATCCAAGCCCACTGCTCCCTTCACCTCAGCACTGGGTAGAATCAATGACAAGCGTGAGGGTTTCAGGTTGGACAGAGCTGATTTTGTCCTTGTGTCTGCTATGATGCCATGCTCTGGCCTTAGGAGAGAACCAGTGTTGGTAACACGATGATGTTTCAGTTGCAGCTGAGCAGTGCTGGGCAGACATTTGGGTTTCTCAACTTCTCATGCTATCCTGCCAGCAAGTGGGCTGAGTGGCACGAGGAGCTGGGAGAGGACAGAACCTACACTGGCCAGAGAGAGATGTTCCATACGACATCGTGGGATACACACAGGAAACCCGACAGAGATCGTGGCAGTGAGAATTTGTAAGGCAGCTCAGAGAGGACGGCATCCCAGCTTTCCACAGGGAGACACTGAGCACTTTCTACCCCCTCCTGAGCCCGACAGCCTCCGCTTGCTCCCAGAGGGGACAAGAGTTGGAGCCGATTGTTTGGGGCTACAGATCCCAATGAGAGGTAAAGAAAAGCAACCCAGGGAGAGCAGCCCGGATAGCGATGGGAAATGCCAAACCAGCACGGATGCATACACAGGGACACCAGCATTTCACAGTTGCTCTGCATCACGCTCCGATGCAGCTCCTTCTGCTCATCATCCAGGAGGGCCCACTCGTCCCTGCTGAACTCCACAAAGACATCCCTGAAAGTCACCGGCAGCTGTGGGCAGAGGGCTGGGCTCAGTGCGTCTGCCAGCTCCTCCCAGCCAGCTCCCAGACCCTGAGAGCCCCATTAGCAGCCCTTCAGATTCACCCCAAAGGTCCCTTCGCCCCTCCTAATGGGCCCACAAGCAACCTCCAGGCTCACTCTCAGCCCCCTCCCCCCATCAGCCCATTCAACCTCTCCGTAGCACCATGTGCATCCCATAGGCTACTGCACTGTTCCCAAAATGATTTCTCAGTCCTTCAAAGGCCCGTCATTGACCCCGAAACCTAAATCCAGCCTGCCTCACCCTTCCCCCAGAATCTCTGTGCAGGAGCCCCATGGCTCAGTGCCAGCCCCAGACACCCCCAGCCCCCTTCTGGCCCTTGAAGCAGCCCCCAGCTTCACACCCAGAGCATCAAAAGCCCCCAAACTGCTGAAAAAGCATCATCCCCCAGCCTCGGTTCCACAAAGTCCCCATCAGTAACTGCCAGACCACCTCACAGCCCCACAGACAACCTCTTAGCCCCCCACAAACGGACCTCAGCCTGACACCCAGACCCCCATAAGGAAGCCCTACGTTGATCTCCTGCCCCACAGACATCGCCTCAGCCCCCAGGCTGACCCTCAGCCAAAGGCTCCATAACAGCCCCCAGCCTGACTCCCAGCCTCAACACAGCCCCATAACGACGCCAGGACCGACCCCAGCCCCCCGATCACCCCCTCAGCCCCAACGAGCAGCCCCCAGCTCAATCCCTGCCCCCTAACAGCCCCGATCAGAGCCCCCACGTTCACCTCTGCCCCACGCACCTCCCCAGCCCCCCAGCAGCACCACCAGCATTCTCAGTGCAGACGTCCAGCCCGGGAAGCTTCACCCCCAAAGCCACCGGCGACCCCCAGCCCCACTGACACTCCTTCACAGCCTGAGGGCCCCCGAGCAGCTTCCAGCCAGACCCCCAGCCGGCCCCACGAGCAGCCCCCAGCCCCACGACCGACGCCTCCCCGAGAAGGGCCGTACCGAGGGCAACCGCGGCCCCCAGGCTTCCCTGTCCCTCAGCGCAGCCTCTGCCCGCTCCAGCCGCCGCTCCAGGGCCTCGATGCGGGCGTACAGCTCCTCCATCACCACACCGACACCCGACGGGACGGGACGGGGCAGCCCAAGGCACCGGCCCTCCCCCATCGCTCCCACCGCAGGCCTCGTGCAGGCAGCGCCCCCTGCTGGTCGGGATGCGCGCTGCACCGCTCTCTCGGCTCACGTGGCGGCGCCGCCTCTCCTCGCCGCGCATGGCGCCCTCCGGCCGGCAGGGGGCGCTGTTGCAAAGAGCGGCGGCCAGGCGGCACCTCCCGGCGGTACGGCGCCAGGTGCGGTCGAGGCGGCGGCGGCGGCTCCGGGCGCGGGGCAGGTGGGCCGGGGTCCTTCGGTTCGGTTCGGTTTGGCTCGGTGCGGTTCGGTGCCGTTGTGCGGGGACGGGAGCCGGGTCTGCGTGACTCTGTGTGGGGAAGGAAGCGTGGGCCCGGTGTCTCCGCACAGACTTGAGGCCCTGGGTTCGGTGCCCGCACGTGGAACGGCGGCCGGTCCCACGTCCCCGTCCCGGTGCCGTGTAGTGGGGGCGAGGCCCGGCTCTCCTGACCCCGCACGGAGAGATAGCGGCCCGGTCCTGCCGGCCCCGTGCCGGGGAAAGCTCCATCTGGGCGCCCTCGCAGAGGTGAGGCCTCGTGTCCCCGCACGGAGGGATGCGGAGGGCTGGGGTCCCCACGTGGGATGAGGGCCCCGTGTGGGGGCAGGCCGCGGTCCCAGGTGAGAACCCGTTCCTGGTGACGTGATACGTGGGGGGAGAGCTGGGATGGGTGTCCCCACGCAGAGCGAGGGCCCCGGTGCCGCTGTTCCCTACCTGACTTAAGAGCCCGTTTCCCAGCGGAATGGGAAAGCCAGGCCCCGGTGTCCTCTGTGTGGGGTTAACAGCCCGGTCCTGGTGTCCCTGTATGGGCGGGGAAGGCCGGGTCTGGGGTCCTGGCACGGAATTAAGGCCTCGCTCCTGGTGTCTTCACATGAGGTCACTGCCCCGGTCCTGGTGTGCCCGCCGTGCCCCAAGGCCTCACATGGCAGGAACCCCGGTCCTGGTGTCCCCATGTGAGAGGCTCAGTCCCGGTGTCTCTGTATGGGAAGGGAAGCCCGCTCCCGGTGTGCCAAGGCCTCACAGCTCTCCCTCCCACCCTTAGCAGCTCAAGGACCCTGCAGGACACCGGGAGCAGAACAGCTGCCGGCCTCAGCCTGTCCTTTGGAGCGGGACATGGCCTCCGCGCTCCCCGGCGGCTGCCTCTGCTCATCCGGCCTCCCTCAAGCACCAGGTGAAGCCGTGCCAAGCAGCGCCGCCAGCATCTCGCTGTGGACAGTGGTGGCTGCAGTGCAGGCGGTGGAGAAGAGCGTAGAGGCCCACGCCTCCCGGCTGCTCAACCTAGAGCGAAGGACGGTAACCACTGAGAAAAAGTACTTGGACTGTGAAAAAACAGTGGTGGATTTTGGGAACCAGCTGGAGAGCAAGCTGACCGTGCTGGGCACCCTCATCCGGGAGTACGGGCAGCTGCAGCGGCGTCTGGAGCACATGGAGAACCTGCTGAAGAACAGGAACTTCTGTGTGTTGCGTCTGCCCTCCGGCCTCAAGGTAACAAACTGCACCCACAGGGTGGTGAGGCACTGGAACGGGCTGCCCAAGGAGGCTGTGGATGCCCCATCCCTGCAGGCATTCAAGGCCAAGCTGGATGTGGCTCTGGGCAGCCTGGGCTGCTGGTTGGCGACCTGCACACAGCAGGGGTTGGAGCTGGATGAGCATCGTGCTCCTTTGCAACCCAGGCCATGCTGTGATCTGGATGTTCCCTGTGGGCACTGAGTGTCCCCCAGTGCTGGTGGCACCTGGTTGAGGTTTCCCAGGAAACCCTTTATTTCCCCATGCACATCAGCTGCCTGTGAGGAGGATGTTTTACTGTGCTAGAAATGCAAATACAACTGGGGGTGGTTGTTTGTATGTGTATTCGAGTTTATATCTACTTGAATCTCTTTGCAAAAGGACAGATGGTTACTAAATCCCCATAAAAATAACACTGAAGGAAACAGAACGGTGAGAAACTGGCAATATGCTTGCCCTGAATTAGCACAGAGGAAGAAAATTCTTCAGACTGAGGATCTGAGTCGTAACGATGCTTTGAGGCATAATTTCTTTTGTCCTTTCAGCACCTGATGTACGGTAGCAGTGATAAATAGAAATGCAGAAGTTCTCTCTTGTCAGTGCTGTAAGGATGGCAGAGGTATCTGCTTCAGGGCTGAGTTTGTGACTTTTACAATTGCAGGTCCCAGAGGCATCTGAAAGTGACACAGCTTGCTTTGCTGAGCAAGAGTGGGAGAACCTGGAGGAATGGCAGAAGGAGCTGTACAAGAACGTGCTGAGAGGGGACGGTGAATCTCTGAACTCTCTGGGTAAATAATGCTTTTAAAGTCAGTTCTTGGTGCTTCTGAGTTAGCTGCCATAGGGAACTTTCCTGCACTCAGGAGCCAAAGCTGTAGAAGCACACAGAGGTCTGTGCCCGCTGCCAGCATGGAGCACAGCTCGTGTTGCATCCAGAGCCTCAGCACTCAGTGGACTGGGAACTGGCTGCTGACTCTCCCAGAGCCCTGCTGTGTGCCAAGCCCAGCCTACCAGCCCCTTCCCTCGGGGCTCTGGGTGTTTTTGGTGCTGGGATGGAGTTTTCTGCCCAAGGCCATCTGCTGGTGGGCCGTGCAGAGCCCCCCGTGCAGTGGGCTCTCACTGGGTGGTGTGTTTTGGCCAATGGAGCTGTTCTGGGGCATGCAGCTGCTGTCAGTACTGTTTGAAGAGGTACATTCCTCCCCGTGACTACTTGGCTTGGCACCTTGTTACCTCTCCTGTCACCTGCAGCAATGAGAGCAGTTTGATGCAGCACAGAAACATTAACATTTCTGTTTCTCAACAGATTATGCAGTCTCCAAACCTGACCTCTCGTCCCGGCTTCAGAGAGGAGAAGTGCCCTGCAGTGAGGTGACCTCAGGACAGAAGGAGATTCCAACAGAACCGAATGCAGGCAAGAGATGAATTGATGGCATTTTTTACCCTTGGGGATAATGAGTGTGTGGTGCTGTCCCCAGACAGAGAATATGCCAGGTGATGGTCCTAATTTACTATGAAAGGAACTTCTCAAGGAGAGCAGGCTCTGAGGGAATGACAGTGTCAGAAAGCACGCAGTGGGTTTGATCTCCCATTAGCAGAATATCTGTTGATTAGATCTGATGCAGGCAGCTAAGGCAGCAAAGGAGTGCAGTGCCCTAGAGAACAAGAGCAACTTGAAGGAAGAAAACAGCATTCGGGGGTGTGAAGGGAGCATCTGTGGGGCTGGGGGTCAGCTGAAGGGGTCCTTCTGGGACTGGGTGTCTGCCAGACCCAAGGAGTGTTGGTTGGAAAGTGTGTGCTTGGACGTAGCACCGGGGAGGATGCTGTCCTGAAACACTGTCAGCTGTGGGGTAAGAGGAAGCCCTCTCCCTACAGGGCTGAGAACAGCAGGTAGTGCTGAGGAAAGGTTGTGTAAGAAATTGGGGTGGCAGGGAGCAAGCTGGGTGCAGGGAGGGAAGAGCCAAAGTGTGCTGTGATACCCAGTAAGGGAGTTTTTCTCTTGACATCAGCAGACTTCAGCATTCCAGAGCCGAGCTTCGCGGGAGCTCTGAAGCAGAATGAAGAGGTGTGTGCGGAGGAGCAGGAGGCCACGGAGGGTGCAGAGTTCACTGAGCTCAGCGTGGGTGAGTTCTGAGCAGTGCCACCAAGTGCTGTGCCACTGCGGAGCCGGTGCTGCATGAGGGCACCCCAGATGTTCCCCCTGCATGTGCCGGGCTCTGGGGAGAGAGCAAGAGCTGTGCTGAGGTTGGGAAAGCGGACTGAAATGTTACGGACAGTTTTACGTGTAGGAAGATTGAAGTGATGGGGAGACGAGGCGTTTCTGATATTTTTCCCTGGAATTTCTTCTGCTTGGTGGTAGCAGTCTCAGAGGAAGGAGCTGTGCTCCAGAGGAGTCCCTCAGCACGTACCTGAGGGCTTGATACCAGCTCTGCAGTCATTTCCTTGTTTCATACTTTCTCCCTCGCTCTCAGTCCTGGTCTCTGTTTCTTCTTGTGCTTCATCAGAGGCGTCCAAAGGTCTTGTTCAGTTTTTGTTGGTATTTGCCCTGCTGTGAGTGCTCTTTTTCACGTCCACCCGTAGTGTCACCTCTGCATGATGTCACCTTGTTACGTACACATCCAGAGCAGCACATCTCAAGTCAAAAACTGGGAGTGTTGATGTGTTCCCCTTCAACAAAGAGGCTGCACAGGGGGGTCACCACATCCTGGGAGGAGAGGGAAGGTGGATCTCGTGGAAAGGGCTGCCACTATCTGAAGAGTGTGAAATACTGGGACGTTGGTGTATGGAGGGCAGCGGATGCAGTGGGAAGCAAAGTCCTACCCCAGGTTCATGAGATCTTAGCACCTGGGAGGAGGAGGACAGCTGGAAGCAATTTTGGAAGCTCTGGGCAGCGCTGAAGCGTGTGCTGTCTTGGAAGGCTGCGCTTCTCTCTGCTCCCTCTGTTGTGGCTTCTGACACTCGCTGCTCAGCCAGCTGAAAGGGCAGCATTCCTGTGCTCTTCACTCGTATTCTGTCTTGTTTGAGTCCTCCAGTTGACTCGATCGGTACAGCAGTGTTTCATGCTCCCTGCTAAGAGGGGCCTGTTTGATGCAAGGGTGGTAGGGGAAGGACGGGCGTTTTAGAAGCATCTCTGTCTCCCGGCAGTGAATGTCCCCTTTGTTTTTCTCCTCAGTTCCAGCTGATGAGGTGATAGCATTCAAAATAGAGCAGCTGGACTCTGACGAATGCCTGCAAAGCTCAGAGTGTCCCACAGCTTTATCCGGGGAATCAGAAGACGTGGTTTTCCAGAGCGCCAACGAGGTGCTGCCCTTTGACAGTCAGTTCAGCTCTGCTGTGCCCCTGGGAAACCAGAGCATGAGCAGGTTGGTGCCATCTGCTTCTGGGGAAGGCGATCTTGGTGAAATCAACACCGTCACGTTCTACAGGCAAGAGTATCCCGAGGAGAGGCCTCACTCGTGTGTTGCATGTAGGAAGGGCTTATGTCTGAAGAAGATGCTGATGATGCAGCAGCAGAATTACAGCACGCTGTGTGGCAGTGAGCCCGCTGAAGACGAGAACATCTTTATCCATCAGCCTCACCAGCAGATCCACGTTGCCGCAGAGAGCTTCAAGCAGAACCCGAAGGTAAAAGCTCCCGCTGGCGTCTCAGCCACAAACAAGGCACGTGGCAGCTCCAGGTGCATGAAGAGCATCAGCACCAACCGCAGCAAACCGGGGCACCCGCAAGGGAAGCCTTACAAGTGCAGCAAGTGTCAGGAGTGCTTCTCCCAGAAGAAAACCCTCATCGTCCACCAGCGCGTGCACTCGGGCCGGAGCCCGGGGGTCCTTTGGTGCTCGTACTGTGGGAAGACTTTCAGCCATCCCTCCAATCTGATCCGGCATCAGAGGATCCACACTGGGGAGAGACCGTACCAGTGCAACGAGTGCTTGAAGCGCTTCACCCAGAAGCAGCACCTCCTTCAGCACGAGAAGATCCACCTGCGAGAGAGGAGCTGCGCCGTCAGGAGTCACACGAGGGAGGCACCGCTATAGGGCTTCTGGGTTGTGCAGGGCTCGCGTGGCCCTACAGCCCCCAGGCGAGGAAGGCAGGAGAGGACAGAGTCTCTGCTGCTCGGCATCAAAGTCTCTCTATTTATCATAAAGTAGAATTAGGATCCACCACGGCATGACTGCCCTCTTCTTCGTGGTGGTGATGATGCGATACCTCATAGTTAGCTGAAAGTCTCTTAAGAACAAAAGCGTGTCGGGTCTCTCCAGGTTTGAGTCAGTTATTTGAACTGGTTACAGCAAGCAGCTGCTTTTCACCTGGAGTTTCCCTCCCTGCATTCCTTGATGAATTTCTGCTGTGCTCAGTTTCGTGGGCAAGCTTGAGTGACGTGTTTGAAGGACTCCAGGATATTAAAGACATGCACGAGAGGAAGTGTCACTGATGACTTGCAGGGAGACCCTGGGTTTGTACTGCAGTGACAGGGGAATTCCCTTTTTGTCTTGCTTCTGAGCATACCTAATAGAGGCAGCATTGCCCAGGCTCCTCCTGGTACCTCTTGGACTCCCAGTGGAACTGAAGGGAGAAACAACTGGTAAGCCAGAGGCAGTGCTCAGCTGTGCCCTCAGGCTGAAGTGAGCGCTGGGATAATGTTCTGTATCTGCCCCTGCATTAACACTTTTTCCTTTGTCTTTATTGTCCTCATCTCTCTTTCCTCCTGCTAGCGTGGGGTACGTATGCTCTTCTGATAGTAGAGATGGGCTTTCATTATATCCCAGAAGGAAACGCGTTCGGCCAACAGCCCCAATACATCATGCAGCTTCAGGGCTCACAGCGCTGTCTGACCTGGCTTAAAGCTGCTGTTTGATCTCCCCATTGCTCACGGGGCTTTTGAAACCTCTCTGCCACTTCCTGGTCCCCAGGTGCCCACTAGGACGGGTGCATGTGGCTGGCTCGTGCTTGCAGGGACAGAAGTGTTCCTGGGCAGGTCTGTTAGCTGGAAGCTCTTCTGGCCCAGCAGTGAGCTCTTTCCAGGACCTCGCTGTTCAACGGAGCACAAGACAGCAGTGCTGCTGTGCCTGTTGCAGCCAAGCGGCGAGGCAGCTCCAGGCTCTGGTTTAGGCTAACCTGATTCCTGCAGAATCTGGAGCAGGTTGGGGTGAGCCTGTGTGAGCCTGTGTGAGCCTGTGTGAGCCTGTGTGAGCCTGTGTGAGCCTGTGTGAGCCTGAGTGAGCCTGCTCATCCGCAGGAGTGGCACAGAACTCTGCTGCAGGAGCGTCAACCGCTGCAGGCATTTCCCTGACACGTCTGCCCGTGGCCTCTTCTCATCCTAGTGCTGCTGAGGTCTTTGCTTTCTGACGTGTCTGAGCAGCTCTGTGTGTGATGAGCCTCTCTTTGTGTACTCACCTATTTTTTTTTCCCCAAAAATATCTCTGGGGAGCAGACAGTGTTCTGTGTTTTGTCACTTGTCAGCGTTCAGTGCCCCCTCGGTACCTCGAAGCACTGAGCGCGGACCAGTTTTGCTTTGCTGTGCGACATGCTAAGCAGAATCTCTTGGCAGCTAGCAGCAGAAGGCATTTGACATCCAGACAATCCGTTTGGGCCTGTTCAGTAAACTGATCCGTCCTCCAGTGCTTCCTGCTGACAGCTGCTCAACTGCTTGTTTCCTCCTTTTCCTTGCCTAGGCTGTGAGCCCCCAGGGCAGGGAGCACGTTTCGGTCATTTGCAAATGCCAGTTCAACCTGCAGCGGTAGATACTTGATTTTTTTTATTACCATAACATTAAACTTGAATGGATGAAAGCTGTGAAGCCTTAAGCACTTCTTCTTTTTTTTTGGGTCTTTTTGGAAAGCACTTTTCCTGCTTGCTTGGCCCCGGGTGTGTGTCCATAGGGAAGGGCTGTGTGCACGGTCACTGAGCTCTCAGGGGTCCTGCTGTGTTTGTGGCACCCTGCCTCACTGATGGGAAGACACACACCTACCTGGCATCACAAACACAATGGAGTTGTGGGTTTTGATTGCATTTTTTGGTTTGTTTTGATGCTGCAGTGGAACCTGAGCAGGAAAGCTGATTTCCATGTGTGTGTATCTGAGTTTCAAACGGTGTCACAGTGCCAATAGCACCTACAGTTAGGATGGAAATTACTCATTGTGCTGTTCTCACAAACAAACCAAGTCAGTGCTGCCATCAAAAAGTTTTCAGCAACCACAGGATTGCTGAAGGATTCGGTCATCAGGGGGAAATTCTTTACTCAGAGAGTGGTGAGGTGCTGGAACAGCTGCCCAGAGGGGCTGTGATGCCCCAATCCTTGGAGGTGTTCAAGGCCAGGTTGGATGGGGCCCTGGGCAGCCTGGTTTAGCATTAAACGAGGAGGTTGGTGGCCCTGCATGTGGAGGGAGGTTGGAGATTCGTGATCCTTGAGGTCCCTTCCAACCCTGGCCATTCTGTGATGCTGTGATTGCAGCCATCATCAGTTCGGCCCATTGGAGTCGAGGCAGAGCAGGATTATTCTGGGATACCAAGGTGGAGGTGCTGTTGCATGAAGCAGCAGCGGTGCTCTGTGATGGCAGCAGCCTGAATCTTGGCTAGGATCACTTTTGTGGGTCATTCTACAAACCAACAACTACAGGCAACTTTTAAGTACTGTTATGGCATGATACAAAAGGAGACAGAAACAATAGAAGTGCAGTGTTGCCACCTCTGCTCCGTGTTGCACTGCTGTTGCGTGAAAAGTTGGTTGTTTCAGTGTCACAGGATCATAGAACAGCCTTGATTGCAAAGGAGCACGATGCTCATCCAGCTCCAACCCCTGCTGTGTGCAGGTCACCAACCAGCAGCCCAGGCTGCCCAGAGCCACATCCAGCCTGGCCTGGAATGCCTGCAGGGATGGGGCATCCACAGCCTCCTTGGGCAACCTGTGCCAGTGTGTCCAGCAGTGTGGGCTGGGAAGGATGACACCATCCTGACAGCACTGCCCTGATTTTGATGGGGAGGCTTCACATGGTAGCTGCTGCCAAAGCTCCGTATTTCATCACTTACTGATGCCACCTTTGATGATACAGATGAAGCTGCACTTCGTGCAGTGAGTCATAGTTTCCCTGCTTGAGCTGAGCTCTTGTATTTCAAAGATCAATAACTGTATTTATAACAGATCATGGAGCTATTTTGAGCTTTGTGCTGCTTCCATTTTAAAAATTCAGCCCTGAATCCAAGAAGAAATGCCAAGCAGCACAGGAGCACACTGATCTTCCAAGGAGAAGAGAGGAATCCTTCCCTTGCACAGACGCAGCATTGCTTAAAGGACTGATCAGAAGCTGCAGGGAAGGGCCAGGGAAGATGCAGGAGTATTTCAGGAGCATGAGGTCTTCCACGTGCACCCTGAGCTGCATTGTGGTTCGTTCACTGCAGGACCTTCCACTGTTAAGCTGCTTCAGATGCAGCTCCACGTCTCTGATTGCTTCACCGCTTCAGATCTGCTTGGTGAAAGCCTCTCTGAGCGTTGTGCCTCATCGAGGCAGGAATTGTTTGCGTGCCATTGCTGCCACTTCAGTTTTGGAGAGGCACACCGGCATCCAAGCTCCTATGCACCAATTAAACAGAAGACATGAGAGCGTGTGTAGGTGCAGAGAAGGCCCTGTCCTCTGGCAGCCCTCAGCAGCAGGACCAGAACAACGCACGAGCCACACAGCTGCCTCCATGTCCAGCTGGGGTGGGCCGGGCCCTTTGGATGCGCAGGAGGAGAGTTTCTCTGCTCCAGCAGCCCTTGGTAGGGGCCCATGGAGGCCATGCTGGGGGAGCCCGCCTGGCTCTGGTGGCACAGCACCACGTCTTTGGCATCACGGGGCAACTCTCGGCCAGGAGCAGCTGCTGCCATCCACACAGACACGTGCGGTGTGTTTGGCGCTGTCGCACACGGCATCCACGTCTCTGTGTTGGAGATGTGGATCTGATGGATGGGCCGTTTGGTGGGTGAGGAATTGGCTGGTGATTGCACTCAGAGTTGTGGTCAGTGGCTCAATGCCCATGTGGAGATGGGTGACAAATGGTGTTGGGACCAAAACCATCTCATGTCTTTATCTGCAGCTTTGCTGATGACACCAAGCAGTGTGCTGCAGTCTGACATTGGAGGGAAGGGCTGCCTCCCAGAAAGGGCTGAGATCAGGCCATGCAAACCACCTGTGCTCCAAGAAGGCCAAGTGCACAGCGCTGCAGCCAGGTGAGGGCAATGCCAAGCACAGACATGGATGGAGCAGCGCTTGGATTGAGTGCAACCATGAGGAGGAGGACTTGGGGCTGTCGGGGCATGCAGAACTGAACACAGGTGTGCTTACAGCCCGGAAAGCTGCCCGTGTCCTGTGCTGCACCGAAGCAGCGTGGCTCTCATCCCCCCACAGTGCTGTGCTCTGCTCGGGGGTTGAGGTGAGGAGGTGATGGCTCAGGGCTTATGATGGAGGCACCTCCGTAGGGACACGTGCATGAAGTGGAGGACCTGGGGTGTTTTTGGCCTGACTGCAAATCTCCCGTTAGTTTGGTGCTCCTCGGGAGGTTGGCAGAGCAGAGCCACGGAGGTGACACCCCCAGATCCCAGCTGGGATCCCGCAGCGGTGATGTCTGCTGTGCTGTGGCCGTGGTGGCACCACGGAGCTCCTGAGAGGAACCACAGGCGCAAGGATGGGCCCGGGCTCCTTCAGACCGCAGACCCGCAGTGTGGCTGAGGATGGGGCCCTCGGGGTCCCTCCGGTCCCCCAACCCAGCAGGGCCCCCCGGAGTACAGCGGGGTGGGAGCTCCCCGAGGAGAGCCCGCAGCCGCCGTCCCCGCGCAGAGCTGTGCGCAGGCAGCGCCTGGGCTGCAGTTCGTGCCGGTGCCGCGTGCCGCCCCGGCAGCGCAGGGCAGAGCGCGGCTCCGTGCCCCGCGAACCCCGCCGAGCTCCGTTCCGCGCTCCGCCCTCCCGGCGCGGCAGCCCCGCCTCCCGGTGCGGGACGGCGGCAGAGGGCGCTGCGGGGCCGCCCGGGGTTGCGGAGCGCTGTTCGTACGGCCATGGCGGGGCCGCTGCTGGGCCGGGTGGTGTCGGCGCGGCTGCTCCGCCTGGAGGGCCGCCTGGCGCGGGCGGAGCGGCGGCTGAGGCTCGCGCTGGCGCTGCGGGGCCGCGTGCGGGCGCTGGAGCGGCGATTGGAGCCGCCTCGGGGAGCGCCGCGACGCGGGGACGGAGCGGAGGGTGAGCGGCGGCGCCGGGGCTGCGGCCGAAAGGACGGGGAGGGGAGCGGAGCCGCCGCGGAGAGCGGAGAGCGGGAGGAGATCGCGGCGCGGCTCCGCGCTGCGGGAGCGGAGGGCGGCGGGGAGGCAGCGGTGCGGCGCGGCACGAGGAACCGCTGTGCGTCCGATCAGAGCTTTGGGAGATGTGGGCGAGGGATGCGGGCGGGCCTCGCTCAGGAAGGGGCGCAGCCAGAGGTTCTGCTGGGCTTAGAGTTAGTTTCGGATACGGGAGCTGATGTTGCCTGAATTCCCCACGCAGAAGACGGCGGTGTCTGTGTTAAGAAGGAGGAAGAGCCGCGCGCAGCGGCGCAGGAGGAGCTGGAGGCTGCGGGAGCGGAGCGGGAGCCGTGCCCAGGTGAGCAACTGCGTGCCCCGGGGGGGAGAGAACGGAGCCACTGCATTCCAGGCCTTGTTGGGTTTTTTCTCTCTTCTCACGCATTCCAAAGCTTTGCTGAAACTCCTGCAGGTTTTGAACCGAGCTGGCAGTGCAGTTTGGTGGCACTGCTTTGCCTCGCTGAGCGGCTGCTGTGCTTTGGAGCTGGCTGCCCTCACTCCATACAAAGGGCAGCAGCTCGCTCTGTTGGCGCTGACAGTTTTATTTGGTCTCCGGCTTTGGGATTTTTAGAGGCTCGTGTGAGGTTCTGTGAATAAACCAGGCTTATGGGAGCCTGTGTAAAATCTAGGGTTGGCTCGTGGGGGAAAATATCAAATCAGAACAGGTCTCAGCCTTGTAACGTCCTGAACTTGAGCGCTTCTGGTAGGCTTGCCGTGGGCTTTCCCCTTTACAGAGCCAGCATTCTTTGAGCCTGAAGCTCCAGCTCAGACCAAGGGAGGCACGGAGGCGTACGGCAGGGAGCTGCCCAGCACAGAGCATGAAGACCTGCCAGGAGATGCAGGTGAGGATTCCCTGTGCAGCTCCCGCTGTAGGAATGGCCCCTCAGTGCCTCCTGACCTTTTGTCTCCCCCGAGGCTTTGTGGGTGCTTCTCTGATCTTTGTGAGCTCCCAAATCTCCTCTGCTTTGTGTCTTTCTCTGGTGTTTCTCAGTTGTGTGCATTTTCCCCAACAAACAGAGTCTCAGAGCTGTGTGACTGCGGTCTTGTCGTGGATTAAACGAGAGGAGGAGCCGCACTGCCCCGAGCAGCAGGGCTCAGAGAAAGGAGAAGTCCCTGCAGAGCCAAGTGCAGGTTGGTCGTGAATTTCAGCTGAGATTTCTTGGGATGGCGTGTCTAATTTAAAGCTTTTTTTTCATCTGTTAAAATTCATGGCCTTATAATGTAAGCCATGAAAGAACAGGTGCAAACCTCAGTCTGCCAGCTGAGGCTTGTTCACAAAGTAGGTTCTGTGCTTTCTCTCCCCCAGCAGCCTCACACTGTCCCAAATGCTGCCTTGGATTGTGGTTGAGGGGCAGTTAGGGGACAGAGGCACATCTCTGGATCCAGGCTCAGCCTTAGGGAAGCTTTAGCTGCACAAATCTGCACTGGGATATTAACTGCAGTCTTGTGGAGCACAGCTCCGGAGTGCAGCTCCTGACTGGGTGATTGAAGAGGGGATGCAT